GGAGGCAGCGGAATTGCGTGCGGAAACGGTGGTGGTGGTGTTGGTGGTGGGTCCGGTAGTGGGTTTTTTGGGGTGGTAGGGGGGATGCAACGGGGGGGAAGTGGAGGAGGAGGGACAACAGCGGCAGCAGCAGCAGCAGCAGCAGCAGGAGGAGGTGGTGGGAGCAGCAGCACGGGAAACTGTGGTAGCTTCAGCAGCGGCTGCGGCGGTAGCGAATTTGGCAACAGCAGAGTTGGTAGCAGCGTTGGCGGTGGTGGCGGTGGTGGTGGCGGTGGCGGCGGTAACAGCAGCAGCAGCAACGCTGTGTTCATCATGCCGTTGCCGCTCATGTCGCCCACTCTGCTCTTCTCCCCACTCTTCCCCTCGTCAAGCGGCCATGGGGACACTATCTTCTCCCCTGCCACCCCCTTCTACCCCTCCGCCTTCGCCGCCACGCCCTCTGCGTGCCACCACGCCCGCAGCCTGGGAGCCGTTCCCGAGGGGCTGCAGGAGGGTGGGGGTGCAGGCGCGGGGAGGGGGAACGGGGGAGTGGGAAGCGGGGGTGGTGATGGTGGTGGGGATGGGGATGGTGATGAGGGTGCTGCGTTCTCGCCAATTATTGCGGGGAGTAGAGAGGGTGAAGGGGTGGTTGTTAGTCAAATGCACAGTGGTGAGGGGCACAGTGGTGAGGGGCACAGTGGCGAGGGGCACAGCGGTGAGGGGCACAGCGGTGAGGAGTGCAGGAGTGAGGGGCTGGCAGGGAATGTGCATATATTGGGCCTGGTTTAGTTACACGTTAGGTTGTGCCCATATGGGTCACACAAAACTAGAGAGATCATACTTGTGTTCTTGAAACCATGTTGTGTCCCAATGCAATAATGCTGGTACAATTCTAAAAGCTGCTCATAGTGAAATCTAAAGTGTCTGGAACAAGCCAATGCTCCTTGAAGGTTGAAACCTCGTCTCGCGTGCAGTAATCATACACCCCTCCATCTGGTTCTGGATACAGTGAACCAACCACCACGTAAACCAGCCATGGCAACTGAATGCGCCCTATCTCTCCACATCCCAAGAGCTCCGAATAGCGCACATAGACCCTGAACCGATGATTCTTGGGCTCCATCCTACGCCCATCACTGTCCACACAAGTGTTCTTCCCACAACACACCCTCACTATGTCCTCGACAGTGCATTGGGTTTCGACGGGATCATTGGGCGATTCTTGGGACAAACCTAGCTCCTCAACAGCCCACTGTTCTAAAACCTTGTACTGTTTTGGTGCAACCTGAGCAAACTCCTCAAGAGACCACGAATCTGCCGCCTCAAATATTGCAGGTGGTTTTCCAGACGGGATCCTAACCCTCTTCGCCTGCGGTGGGCGTAGGGCAGGCCGGGATCTCGCTTGCCCGGGGGCGCGCTGTGACCGAAAGGTAGCGGTGGAGATGGTATCAGCTGACCCTATTTCCTCATCACTTTCGCTGACATATCGGACCCCGACAGCCCTGGTCCTCTTGCGACCTCGACGAGACCGGAACATGCTGGCCCAAACGCTGGTGGAAGTGCGTGGAGGGGGGCACAAAGAGAGGTGATCGAGAGGGTTAGTGCGGCGAGAGCACATGTGTCAGTGGATACACATGGGGTTTTCTGAATTACTAAGCTTCTCTCTGGCTCTGTCTCTCTCCATGCCGCATACTCTCACTCGGTCTCTCTCCACATCTCTCCCTCTCTCCCTCTCTCCCTCCCTCTGTCTCCCTCCCTCTCTCTCTCTCTAAAACTCTCTCTCTCTCTCTCTCTCTCTCTCTCTCTCTCTCTCTCTCTCTCTCTCTCTCTCTCTCTCTCTCTCCCCCTCCCTCTCTCTCACTCTCTCTCCCGCTCTCTCTCACACACACACACTACCTCTCTTTCTCTCCTGCCCCCTCTCTCTCTCCCCAGCGCCCTGAATCCCCAAGGGAACGATGCCACACTGAGCGAGGGAGAAGGGGGGACTGGAGTAGGCGGAGGGCATGGCAGCAGGAAAGTTGGGGGGGGGGAGGAAGGCAAGGAGGCAGCAGAGAGTTGAAGGTGCCACACCAAATCTCCTATCCGCCTCTCCCCCTCTCTAAACCAACCTCCTATCCGCCCTTCCCCCCTCTCTAAACCACCTTCCCACGCTCCTATCCGCCCTCCCCCCCTCTCTAAACCACCTTCTGACGCTCCTATCCGCCCTTATCCCCTCTCTAAACAACCTTACCACGCTCCAATCCGCCCTTACCCCCTCTCTAAACAACCTTACAACGCTCCAATCGGCCCTTCCCCCCTCTCTAAAACCACCTTACCATGCTCCAATCCGCCCTTCCCCCCTCTCTAAACCACCTTACCACGCTACTATCCGCCCTTCCCCCCCTCTCTCTGCCTCTCCCCATGCTCCTATCCGCCCTTCCGCCCTCTTTCTGCCTCTCCCCATGCTCCTATCCGCCCTTCCGCCCTCTTTGTGCCTCTCCCCACGCTCCTATCCGCCCTTCCCCCCCTCTCTGTGCCTCTCCCCACGCTCCTATCCGCCCTTCCCCCCCTCTCTCTGCCTCTCCCCACGCTCCTATCCGCCCTTCCGCCCTCTTTGTGCCTCTCCCCACGCTCCTATCCGCCCTTCCCCCCCTCTCTGTGCCTCTCCCCACGCTCCTATCCGCCCTTCCCCCCTCTCTCTGCCTCTCCCCACGCTCCTATCCGCCCTTCCGCCCTCTTTGTGCCTCTCCCCATGCTCCTATCCGCCCTTCTCCCCCTCTCTATGCCTCTCCCCACGCTCCTATCCGCCCTTCCGCCCTCGTTATGCCTCTCCCCACGCTCCTATCCGCCCTTCCCCCCCTCTCTATGCCTCTCCCCACGCTCCTATCCGCCCTTCCGCCCTCTTTCTGCCTCTCCCCACGCTCCTATCCGCCCTTCCGCCCTCTTTGTGCCCCTCCCCGCGCTCCTATCCGCCCTTCCCCCCCTCTCTATGCCTCTCCCCACGCTCCTATCCGCCCTTCCGCCCTCGTTATGCCTCTCCCCACGCTCCTATCCGCCCTTCCCCCCCTCTCTATGCCTCTCCCCACGCTCCTATCCGCCCTTCCGCCCTCTTTCTGCCTCTCCCCACGCTCCTATCCGCCCTTCCGCCTTCTTTGTGCCTCTCCCCACGCTCCTATCCGCCCTTCCCCCCCTCTCTATGCCTCTCCCAACGCTCCTATCCGCCCTTCCGCCCCCGTTATGCCTCTCCCCACGCTCCTATCCGCCCTTCCCCCCCTGTCTATGCCTCTCCCCACGCTCCTATCCGCCCTTCCGCCCTCTTTACGCGTCTCCCCACGCTCCTATCCGCCCTTCCCCCCCTCTCTATGCCTCTCCCCACGCTCCTCTCCGCCCTTAAGTCCTCTTTGTGCCTCTCCCCACGCTCCTATCCGCCCTTCCCCCCCTCTCTCTGCCTCTCCCCACGCTCCTATCCGCCCTTCCGCCCTCTTTCTGCCTCTCCCCACGCTCCTATCCGCCCTTCCCCCCCTCTCTCTGCCTCTCCCCACGCTCCTATCCGCCCTTCCGCCCTCTTTGTGCCTCTCCCCACGCTCCTATCCGCGCAGTCGCACAACCGGCGGCCGTCCCCAGTGTTCGCCCGATGGCCGAATCGACCCTTGAGCCGTTCTGGCTTTTGAGTCACCGCGTCCGCCTCGACACCACAAGACGCCACGTGGACTTTCTTGTCCGCTGGGCCGACCGTACAAGCAAAGTTGACACGTGGGTCACTTCCGACTCGCTTTAGGAACAATCTACAGAACTCAGTCACTAACCACTGAGTTAAAAGGGCCTGTTAAGTAGTGGGTTAGTACGCCCATAACCCCCCAGGCTCTGCACATGTTGTTAAGCTACTGTAAGAACGCTAGGCGGCCATAGAGTAGCGTGAGGGTTTAGCTAGGAGAGAAGTTGACGAGAGAAAAGGGATCGAGAATAGAAGAGAGAGGGATACAAGGAGGGGGGTTGTACCCTTTACAGTAGGTTTCAGCAATAACTGCCAAGCCTACCAATTATATATCAAAGATATAATTTAACACACCCCATATGCTTGGTAGCCGAAAGCACACCACACACACCCCCTAAATCTAGCACCCCCATACTCACTAGCAGTGATGGCTACACCAGCCCGGTCAACCCTTCGGCCCGGCAGGCGGCGACGGCGACAGTAAGGGCTGCGGCGGCGACGGCGGCAGCGTCGACAGCGGCAGCGTGCGGCGGCGTGGCCCCAACGCAAGCGGCGACGGCTTTGACAACAGCGGCGGCGGGGCTCGCAACACTTGGCGGCGTGGCCGGGCTCCGCGACGGTGAGACGGCCAGCGAGAGGCAGCCATCGGCTGCGGCGAGGAAGAGGGGACGCAGGGAAGGGGGGGCGGGGCTTCTGCAGCACGCTCGTGGCTGGCGTGCGGGCGTCAGGACCGGCGGCGCCTAAGACGTCACGCGGCCCGCTGCCGCCCGTCGACGCCGCCACTGCAGCATAACGCCGCCTCCACAGCGCAGCGTCGATGCCGCGGCGGAACGTCGACGCTGCGACGGCAGCACGACGCCGTCGACGCCACGCGTCGGGGCTGCGACGGCAGCACCACGACGCTGTCATTGCAGCACGGCATGGACGCGACGGCGGCACGAAAGTAGCGGGACTGGCGACTGAAGTACGAGTACGCGGCGGAAGCGTGGGGACCAGGCCAGGAAGGGCAACCTGCTCTGATACCATGTTAAGCTAAGAACGCTAGCCGGCCATAGAATGGTGTGTGGGTTTAGCTAGGAGAGAAGTTGACGAGAGAAAAGGGGTCGAAAATAGAAGAGAGATGGATACAAAGAGGGGGGTTATACCCTCTACAGTAGGTTTCAGTAATACCTACCAAGCCTACCAATTATATATCAAATATATAATTTAACACCTATAACCCTTCTCCGAGGACCAAGGGCAACCTGTTAGAATGCTAGCTTAGCTAGGAAGCTAGGAAAGGCTTGAGGTTTAGCTAGGAGGAGCCATGGAGTGGCGTGAGGTTTAGGAAGGAGAAAAGTTGAGGAGAGAAAAGGAAGTTAGGAAAGAAGAGAGGGGGATACAAGGAGGGGTGTTGTACCCCCTACAGTAATGTTCAGTAACATCTAATCTACCAAGCCTATACATTATATAACTCAATATATAATTTTAACACAACCCTTGTGTGTATCATAACACAATCGGTGCTCAAATCTTATTTGATCCGAAAAGGTGTTCCCAACATTGACCACCTTCCTTAAGAGGGGGGTAGTGTAAGAAATTTTATTCCTTACCGGGTTGTACTGCAATCACGTACACCCTAACTCTCGGAAGACTAGGCTCGATCCGATTTCGATGCGGCCCCGAGGCTGGCTCGCGCCGCCTCCGGCCCTTTCGATCGCGTCTGTACCCAACCTAGCCCTCCGGGCTCGTCGCCTAGCTAGGGTTCTCGCTATATAATGCTAGGCTCCCATTCTTGTACTTGTCATTATTATTCAGCGCACTCTAAGTTATTATTCATAACACTTGGGGATGTCCGTAGTCACGTGATGCCACTTTCAGATTCACCCCAACTTTCTCCTCTTCCCGAATCCCCCGAGGGGTGGGTTGCAGGCAGGCGACACCAAGCAAACAGCACACGGACTGTACAGTTCTGGTCATTGCCCCTATCAGAGCTTCCTTCTTGATTGATGATCCTAGGCTCATTCGTCGTGTACAACTGACGGAGACGATTCGCAGTGACTATCGAAAGGCTCTCCCGCGAGCAACCATGGCGGCCGCGTCCCTTCTAGAGGAGATAGCGGACGAGCTTCAAGCGCTCGAGGCCGTTTACGGCGAAGACGTCCACGTACAGGCGGAGAACGCGGAGAACGCGGGGAATGCGGGGAATGTGGGTGTGAGGGTCAGTGTGGCGCTGAAGCCGCTGACGGGGGAAGACGCGACGCAGCAATTCGTTGAGGCAACAGCCGTGCTCCTCGTCACGCCGCAGGTTTTGATAGCTTTGCCTTGGCCTCGCACTTCTCCCCTGGACCTTCGTTTGCCGTTTCCCTGTCGTTCCGGGGTCCTGCCTCGCTGTCGTTCGTCACCGCTCCCATCCTACTGCAACCTATCAACGCTGGCCTTCCCCTCGGCCGGATCTTGGTTCTCCCTGTGAAATTTCTCCTCCGCCCTTTCTCCCCGCCGCCAACCTCCCCGCTCCCCCCGCAATGTTTCCCCTACGCGCGCACGCTCCTTCCCGCGACCTTCCCCGCAGTACCCGCTGTCCCCGGCAGTGCTGCGCCTGAGCGCGGTCAAGGGGATGAGCGACGAGCGGGTGGCGGAGCTGCTTGCGCTCGCCAGGGCGTGGCTGGCGGAGATGTTAGGGCCGGGGGAACCCATGCTGCTGGCTGCATGCGAGGTACTAGAGGGGAGAGGAAAGGGGGGGGAGGGGGGAGGGGGGGACGGGATGGTGATGCATGGGGATGGGGGAGGGTCTGAGAGAATGGCGAGGTTGTGGTAGGCTGCGAGGTGTGGAGGGAGGTTGAAAGGTTGGAATGCGAGGGTGATTGATGTGGAGCAATCGTATGGTAATGTAATGGGAACTGCATAGAATGGGAACTGCATAGAATGGGAACTGCATAGAATGGGAACTGCATAGAATGGGAACTGCATAGAATGGGAACTGCATAGAATGGGAACTGCATAGAATGGGAACTGCATAGAATGGGAACTGCATAGAATGGGAACTGCATAGAATGGGAACTGCATAGAATGGGAACTGCATAGAATGGGAACTGCATAGGATGGGAACTGCACAGGATGGGAACTGCATAGGATGGGAACTGCATAGAATGGGAACTGCATAGAATGGGAACTGCATAGAATGGGAACTGCATAGAATGGGAACTGCATAGAATGGGAACTGCATAGAATGGGAACTGCATAGAATGGGAACTGCATAGAATGGGAACTGCATAGAATGGGAACTGCATAGAATGGGAACTGCATAGAATGGGAACTGCATAGAATGGGAACTGCATAGGATGGGAACTGCATAGGATGGGAACTGCATAGGATGGGAACTGCATAGAATGGGAACTGCATAGAATGGGAACTGCATAGAATGGGAACTGCATAGAATGGGAACTGCATAGAATGGGAACTGCATAGAATGGGAACTGCATAGAATGGGAACTGCATAGAATGGGAACTGCATAGAATGGGAACTGCATAGAATGGGAACTGCATAGAATGGGAACTGCATAGAATGGGAACTGCATAGAATGGGAACTGCATAGAATGGGAACTGCATAGAATGGGAACTGCATAGAATGGGAACTGCATAGGATGGGAACTGCATAGAATGGGAACTGCATAGAATGGGAACTGCACAGAATGGGAACTGCATAGAATGGGAACTGCATAGAATGGGAACTGCATAGAATGGGAACTGCATAGAATGGGAACTGCATAGAATGGGAACTGCATAGAATGGGAACTGCATAGAATGGGAACTGCATAGAATGGGAACTGCATAGAATGGGAACTGCATAGGATGGGAACTGCACAGGATGGGAACTGCATAGGATGGGAACTGCATAGAATGGGAACTGCATAGAATGGGAACTGCATAGAATGGGAACTGCATAGAATGGGAACTGCATAGAATGGGAACTGCATAGAATGGGAACTGCATAGAATGGGAACTGCATAGAATGGGAACTGCATAGAATGGGAACTGCATAGAATGGGAACTGCATAGAATGGGAACTGCATAGAATGGGAACTGCATAGGATGGGAACTGCATAGGATGGGAACTGCATAGGATGGGAACTGCATAGAATGGGAACTGCATAGAATGGGAACTGCATAGAATGGGAACTGCATAGAATGGGAACTGCATAGAATGGGAACTGCATAGAATGGGAACTGCATAGAATGGGAACTGCATAGAATGGGAACTGCATAGAATGGGAACTGCATAGAATGGGAACTGCATAGAATGGGAACTGCATAGAATGGGAACTGCATAGGATGGGAACTGCATAGAATGGGAACTGCATAGAATGGGAACTGCACAGAATGGGAACTGCATAGAATGGGAACTGCATAGAATGGGAACTGCATAGAATGGGAACTGCATAGAATGGGAACTGCACGGAATGGGAACTGCAGAGAATGGGAACTGCATAGAATGGGAACTGCACGGAATGGGAACTGCACGGAATGGGAACTGCACGGAATGGGAACTGCACGGAATGGGAACTGCACGAAATGGGAACTGCACGGAATGGGAACTGCACGGAATGGGAACTGCACGGAATGGGAACTGCATGGAACGGAATGGAATGGAAGTCGCAAGCGCGCACTGACATGGTCTCTTGCTTTCTTCCTGTCTTGCACGCTCTTTTCTTTTCAATGGCGAAACTGTGGCAGCAAGTGAAGGAGCTTCTAACGGAGATGAACGAGCCTTCAGGGTGCTGCTGCTTCTGCCTCGATCCAATGTCTTCTGGCGCTGCTGCTGCCCCGCACGAACCCATTGACGGCCCCAACAGCGATACTAGCAGCGGCGGCAGCGGTGCTCCCCCTCTGTTCAAGCTTGCCGTCTGCTTCCACTGCTTCCACTCGTATGTGCTGCTGTGTACCTCAGACGTATTTGTGCCCCCGCAATGCTCCTGCAGTGCCCCTGCGATGCGTCTGCAATGCTGCGTGGACTCCATTCCATTGTATTCGATCCTCGCTTTTGCCTTCATTCCTTCCATCCACCCCTGAATGCACTTATAGCGCCAATTTTCTGCATCGGATCACTTCGATTTTTCCCCCTCTGCCTTGCTCTCTCACGCCCTTTCACACCACATGGCTCCTCATTGCCTCGTCCTTTCTCAACCCTTCCCCTACTGCAGGCAGTGCATGTCACAATGGTGGCAGTGGGAGCTACAGCAGGCTAAGGTCAATGAAGCTGAAATGAGGAGGTGCAACCCGCATGCTACCATTCCAAAGGTGCCTACAATCAGGAAGCTAAGTGGAGAAATACGCTTGGGCAGCCTAGCGTATTGCGTACATACGCTAGCGTATAATACGAATACGCTGTACGCTAGCTAAGTACGCAATACGCTAGCGTATTTCTTGGCGGGCAGCCCGGCAAGAAATACGCAAAAAACGATGCGACAAATTTGCGACATGACGAAACCCCACAGGGATTTCGCCATGTCGCAAACCGAAATTTGGCTTTTCAAATCGTCAACCCAACCGCTTCGCCCCTCCCAACCACACAGCATCCCACCCAATCTGCGACTTCCAAGCAACACCCAAAGAAATCTCCTTCCTCTCCCTCTCTACTCTACTCCAGCAGGGTTCAGCGCAGTGCACTCCTACGACGAAATCAGGGTACAAGTAAACTGGCGCGCTAACTTCAGTCATTTCTACTTCCAAGCTAGCGCGACTAGCTAGCTGGTTTTTTAGCGACTGTTGCTATGTCGAACCCTCCACCTAGTCCTGGTTCCCACGGAACCGACGCGGGAACCTCCTGTGCTGCGTCTTCCTCTGACGAGCTCCTGGAGAACTCCACCCACGCTATCTTTAAGCATTTCAAGTTTAAGCATAAGGAGCACGGCAAGCAGCAAAAGTATTGGTGCAAGTACTGCCCCGTATCCTTTACCGGGACGGCCTACCGCTGCGCACAGCACATCACTAGTTGGGATGGTATGCGTAGGCGCGAGGTTCGGAAATGCGAGGAGGTAGGGAAGGAGGAGCAGGCTGCCGTCCGCGCGTTCCAAACCGCCAAAGTGCTCGCGAGGGAGGAGGCGCATAGGGCGGAGGAGTCGGCCCTCGACGCCGTTAGTGGTCGGGGAAAGCGGAAGATCACCGATTACCTGTCCGATGACGCCCAAGCGGCCAAGGCGGCGGCGGACGAGGCTATTTGCCTCCTCTTTGCCGGCCTCCGCCTTCCCGAGCGCCATGCCGACCACCCGCTTTGGCGCAACGCCGTCCGGTCCATCGCGCGCGCGGGGACCAGCTATGTGCCTCCAAAGCGCGACTACGTGGGTGGTGCCGGCTTGCAGCTATGCCGCAAGCGGATTGACGAGGGATTGACGGGCGTCATGTCGAGCTGGAAGCGCCACGGCGTGACGATTGCCAGCGACATGATGACCGACAAGTGTGGCAGGCCGCAGGCGAATGTGATGCTGGTCAATGACACCGGTGCAGTGTTCGTCGAGAGTATTGACTGCAAGATGGAGAAAAAGACTGGGGGATACATCGCCCGGCTCCTCCGGCCCATCCTGCAAAAGGTTGGGGTCGAGAACATCGTGGCATTCTGCACCGATGGCGGCAGCAACTACCACAGCGCCTGCCGGCTCCTCATTGCAGAGAATCCGCGCATCGAGCATGTGCCGTGTGCGACGCACGTGCTCGACCTCCTTATGGAGGATGTGGGACGGCAGGCTTGGGCCAAGGAGGTAGTGGGGCGGGCGAGCGAGCTCATCAACTACACCCGCAGCCACCATTGGACCCGACAGTATCTCAGGGGTGTGGACGGAGGGAAGGGGCTGCAGATGCTGAGGCCGGCGGGGACCAGGTTTGGGACGCAGCACATTGCTGTGTCCCGCCTGGTGGAGTTGCGGTCAACGCTGGTGACCATGGTGCTCTGCGATGCATGGAAGGCGGAGTGGGCGGTGGGCCCAAAGAAGGCAGCTGCAGAGACATTCCACGACCAGATCATGGATAAGGACTGGTGGCCAGCGGCTGAGCTCTTCAAGAGGCTGCTCCTGCTCCCGTTCAAGGCCATGAGGGCGACGGATTCGGCAACGAAAGGGATGATGGGCCGCATCTATGAGCTGATGCTTGAGCTCACTGTGAATGTGGCAGAACTGCTGAAGGAGGAGGGGGATGGGGTGCTGAGTGCGGGAGACAAGAAGGGCGTCAATGAGATTGTGAAGCGGCGTTGGGATGAGAGTATGGCTTGCCCACTGCACGTGGTCGGGCGGATTCTTAACCCGGTCAACCAGGAGGAGCGGATTTTTGGGCCGGACACGGAGTGCACCAATGTGTTCAAAGCTTTCATTGCCCGCCACTATGGCGGGGTGATGATTCCCCAGAGGGATGGCCTGCCCAAGCGTGCCACACTCCTCCTGCAGGAAGGGTTGGCCGCCTTTCTGAAGTTGAGGGGCAGCTTCGGCACGGCTGAGGCCATCAGTGACCGGAAGTTGGTGAAGGAAGGAAGTTATTCCATGGAGGCGTGGTGGGAGTGGCACGGCACTGACCACCCCTTGCTCATGGCCCTTGCTTGCCGTGTGCTAACTCAGCCGGTGTCTGCATCCAGCTGCGAGCGCAACTGGGCGGTGTGGGATACTGTCCACACCGCCCGACGCAACCGGCTGGGTTCAGAAAAGTGCAAGGATCTGGTTTACGTTGCGCACAACTGGAAGGTTGTGCACAACTGGCACATGGCCGACGAGGGGGCGGGGGTGGTGTCCGGTAACATCCCGGACGCCCCCATCCCTGCGGGGTACAGGGTGGATCGGGAGGAGGAGGATGAGGAGGGCGAAGATGAGGAGCTGCTGGACGAGTACCTGTAGAGCAGAGCAGGAGAGGGTTAGGCGGGCGGTTTGGGGGAGGCTTACCTGAGATGGGTGGTTGGCTGGTTGTTGGAGTTTGGAACCCTTGACATGCCCTTGGTGGCTTGAACTATTTATTTATTACCATGCTAAATGATGCCACATTTGGTGGGGGGAATTTGGTGCTCTGAACCCCCCCTCTTCCCTCCCCAAACAGGTTTTTTTTACCCCTGCCCGAGTTGTTTTTATACCTGCCCGCCAGAGCGTATTTCCTAGCGTATCCAATCCCATAATGAAGCGTACAGCGTATATACGCTAGCGTATAATACGCTTGCGTATAATACGCTGTACGCGTATTTCTCCACTTAGTCAGGAAGGCTCAACCTAGCCAGACTCAGCCCATCTCAGCCCAGCCCAACCCAGCCGAACCCGTAGCCATCGTTCGTCGCACAGTCGCAAACTTTCGTTGCTGGGTCTTAAACTGTTCCTCGTTTAGGTTAGATTCGCAGTGTGCAAGGTCAGCACCTTTTCAGTCTCAGGTCGCCTTGCATGCTCACTCACTCCCTGCCACTGCGTGCTGCGTTCCCCTCCCCTCTGCTCCTCTCCCTGTGCCCCCATTCCCAGCAATCCTTCAGCTGCCCTGCCTGCCGATCCACTCTGGCAGCAGATGACATGTCCCGCCTCACTACACTCCTCGCCTCCTCTCCTCCATCCGCTCCCGCATCCTCGCCTCAACCCTCCACCTCCCTGGCGAATGAGCCTAGACTCTCAGCGGCACCACCAGCAGCTGCAGAAGAGGTCTCAGAAGCGCTGGGTGGGGAGGATCAGGTGGAGAGAAGGAAGCGGTTTGAGGCAGTGTGGCAGAGGCAGCAGCAGCGCGGAGGCATCATTGAGCCTCGCTCCGTGCTGGATGGCTACGCGGATCAGCATCCTGGTCAACAGCAGCAGCCCACTGAATCTCTTCGGGTTTCCGAACCTCCGTCTGGCCCAGCTTCAGCCTCACGGCGCGCGGATTCCACTGCCACTGCTGCAGCTGCGGATGCAGGAGATTCAGCTGCTTCAGTGGAATCAATACGAGCAGGCGCAGCCGGCGTTGCCCCGCCACCAACAGGGGCGTCCTCAGGAGGGCTTGTGCTCTTCCCAGCCTTGCGGCTTGACCCCTCTCCACCGGACTGCTTCTCAGGGAATCAGCCTGGCGACTCTGCAGCACCACATAGCCAGACTGCAGCATGCCGTGGTTCAGGTGAACATCCAGGTGGAGGTTCAGGTGGGGGGGGGCGTGGACAAGGTAGGCATGGGGAGGGAGGACGGCGAGGGAGAGGCGGCAGAGAAGGCCGGGGGGGGTTAGAGGGGGGAGTGGAGGGAGGTGGCACAGAGGGGGTGGTGGAAGAGGAGGGAGAGGGCAACAGATGGAGGGAGTTGAAGGAAGTGGGGCAGGGGGAGGTGAGGGAGGCCATAGAGTGGTAGGACAGGGAGAATGCCACGGTGGAAGGGATGGAGAGGGAGAGGGGGGAAGACATGGGGGGAGGAGAGGTACGGGCAGAGGACGAGCGGGAGATCGGGGAACGCATGGGGGTGGCGATAAGGGAAGGGGGTGGGTGAGAGGTGGAGGGGACTTTCAGGGGGGAGATTCTGGAAGGGGTGGAAGGGGGGGTGGGGAGGAGCATGGGAATGTGCATAGGGGTCGGAATGGGGTTCTGGAATCAGGGACCACAAACAAGGCTCCAGGAAGGACATGCCCCGCCTCACGCTCCGAGGGGCTGGCCCTGCTGGAGTAGCTGCCGCTGCTGCCGAGTATGGGGGTGCTAGACTTAGGGGGGTGTGCGGCTTAGTGTGCTGTGTGTGTGGTGTGCTTTCGGCTACCAAGCCTAGCGGGTGTGTTAAATTATATCTTATATATAATTGTAGGTTTGGTAGGTGTTACTGGAACCTACTGTTGAGGGTACAACTCCCTCCTTGTATCCATCTCTCTTCTCATCTCATACTCTTCTCTCTTGACATTTTTCCTAGCCTAAAACCTCACGCCATTCTATGGCTTCCCTCCTACCTAGATTCTAGTATTCTAACAGGCCAGGCCCCAACTTAATCGGGTGAAATGCCCTGATTGCCCTGATTTTTCAGGGCATTTTTTCATTTGGTCTTAAAAATCAGACTTGCAAAATTTATTACCCTGATCCAAAAAGTGTTAGGAAAATATAACCCTGACGAAAACAGGGTTGCGGGGCCCCGCACCCTGACCCTTCAGGGTGTCCTGAAAACTACCCTGGTGTCAAACATATCCTTGTACGGTATGTTGTTATAGACTACACAGGGTTGTGCCTTAGACAGTACAATCCACTTGATTATCCTTCGTAAAGATATCAGCTGTGTTGGCACCGGAGGCCAAGTGTACTACGCGAGCCTAACGACGCTGCTGAAGCTCGTGCAAGAGGAAGTACCGCAGCTGGATGTGCTTCGCTCTGCCCTCAAGTCGAGGCTCCTGACACAAGAGGATCATGGCCCTGTTGTCAGCGTACAGGACCGGGGCAGAGCTATATCGCTCACCTAAGTCAGTGAGCAAGAAGGTCAGCCAGCGGAGCTCCTGTGTTGCCATGGCACCAGCGTAGATCTCGGCCTCACAGCTGGACTGGGCAACAGACGAGGAGCGAGTAGCTCTCCACGAGACGGCACCTGAACCAAGGCCAAAGCAGTAGCCCTGCGAGGACCTGAGGGTCTCAGCGTCGTGTGCCTAAGAAGCGTCTGTGTGCCCACTAAGGACCACTGGCCTGCGTCCTCCTAGCACTAGCCCCTTGCCCGATGTACTTGCTAGATGACGCAAAACCCTCTTAGCTGCCGACCAGTGCTGTGGTCGGTGTCTGCCTGTGGCCACAAAGCGAGCCAGGATGGTAAGAGGGTATGCAAGATCTGGACGAGTGCAAGTCATCAGGTACATGCAGCAATCCACCAGCTCTGTGTAAGGACCACTCGGCTCTATTGACTCCTCAGGAACTGGAGCAGAGAGCCTGTGATCTACTGGCAGAGGTGTGGGCTGTGCGAAGGAGAACTGAAGGCCGAACCTCTGAAGGACCTGGCGCACCAAGTGTGACTGGGTGAGAGTGATGGTGCGCGCTGCTCTGTTCCTAGAGATTTGCAAGCCAAGGTAGTGGCGCAGTTCTCCTAGGTCACTGCAGGTGTGTCTTTTCAGCAGCTCTGCCTTCACGGAGGCCAGTGCATATCTGTCTGCAGTGGTGAAGACCAGCACGTCTACGTAAACAAGGATGTAGAACGGGGTCTGGCCAGCACGAACGAAGAGCGAGGGGTCTGCAGAGGACGGAAAGAATTGCAGGTCAGCTAGCGTAGCAGGCAGCGTGTCGTGCCACTCACGGGGCGCCTGTCGCAAGCCGTAGACTGGGCGCCGCAGTAGCCATTGGGTCCCAGGAGGGAAGGTACCACTGAGGCCCTGAGGGCGGCGCAGGTAGACCTGCTCGTGTAGGCTGCCCAGAAAGAAACGCAGTGGAGAAGTCGAGGGAGTGTAGTGTAACTCGTAGTCACGAAGTGCTGCTACGTGTAGCAGCGCCCGAAGAGTAGTCATCTTCGGGGTCGGGGCGAAGGTCTGAAAGAAGTCCACCCCTTCACGCTGACTAAAGCCTCTAGCCACGTAGCGCGCCTTGAACACATGCGGCTCTCCAGGGGGGTGCTTCACTTTGAAGAGCCACCGGCCATCGACTACGTTCACCCCAGGTGGGGGAAATATGTCGACGTAGGTGCCGGTGGATTTCCAAGATGCCATCTCCTGCTTTATGGCAGCTATCCACTGAGAGGCCCAAGGTCCCAAGGTCGCCTCAGCGTATGTGTGAGGGGTCAGGATGCCGAAAGCGTCTAGGTCACCCTCAGGGACTAGCAGCATGGAACAGAGATGGGGAGCAACCTCGGACAGGAAAGCAAGCTCGTACTGCCTGTCCTCCTGGACGTCAGTGCTGAGGGCAGGAGCACCCCCGACGGATGAAGGATGAGCAGGGTCAGAGACCAGAGCAGTGGCGTAGTCAAGGCGGCGGGTAGAGGCGAAGTCAGCGACCGCAGTGACAAGATCGTTAAGACGCGAAATAGGAACAGACATGTCGATAACGAGAGAGGCAAGGACCCGAGGAACAAGAGGACGAGCTGCACAAAGTTAATCAGACAGAGGGGGAGGCGCGACAACAAGGGAGGACGGAGGAGGCGACGGTAAGAGGGGAGGACGAGACGCGTGGGAACGGAGAAATATAGGGTGAGATAGCGGAACAGGAGAGACAGGACGAGCACGAGAGGGACGGCGGGACCAGACGTGAGACGGAGGTGTCAGGTCAGGAGAGAGAGGAGGAGACACAGGAGGAGAACGCGGGGGAAGACGAGCCGGAGACGAGTCCGAAGGAGGGAACACGGGGCCGTAGACAAGAAGGGGAGCAGACGGTGGAGGAGGCACAGACGCGTGGTCAGGGGATGGAAGGCCGAGCAGGCGAAGGGCTGACAACGGCGGCGACTGCTGCTGCGGCGGCACGACGGCAACACCGGGACCGCCAGCTGCTCCACGGCCAACTCCGGAACACTCCACTCCAGCACCCCGAGAACCAGGAACCTCTTCAGCACCGGTACCACCCCCAGGCCCGTCAGGAGAAGCCACGACAAGAACCCCAGGACGAGCTCCCTCCTCAACGGCGGCACCCCCAGGGTTGACGAACTGCTGTTGCTGCGGCTGCGACGACGACTGCGACGACGACTACGGCGGCGGCGGCGGCGGCGGCTACGACAACGGCTGCTGCGACGACGGAGGAGGAGACACCAGGGGAGGGGCAGGCTGCGAGGACTACGCCGCACGACCACTAGAGTCAACAGACTCCTCGACCGGGACAACCGACAGGAGGGGGGTGACGTGAGACACACCAGACAGGGCAGGGCGGGGAGGGGGGGGAGCAGGGGCGACCGGGGGAGGGGGAACCTGGAACACGAGGGGAGTAAATGGGGGACCACGGTGGTGAAAGCGGTGGTAGAAGGAGACAGACTCGTCAAAGGTAACGTCGCGAGAGTGAAAGAAACGGTGAGACGGCGGGTGATAGAAGTGCCAGTCAGACGAGTCGAGGGGGAAACCGAGGAAAACACAGGGGACGGTGCGGGCAGTAAGCTTGTCCGTGCCAGAGGCATGAACATGGGCGAGGCAGCCCCAGACGTGGAACGCAGACGCGTCACCAGGGGACCCGGTCCAAAGAGGGGTCTGCGAAACCTACGGCTGCTGGGGGTGCGGCCACAGGTTAAGCTGGTGAGCGGCGTAGCGAACGGCGAACGGCCACAGATAATGGGGTGCGCTGGCATGGATCATGGAGGTACGAGCCACCTCCATGACCAAACAGATGCGTCGCTCAGCGACCCCATTCTGCTGCGGAGAGTCCGGCAGGGTGAACGTTTAGGTGATGCCCTCCGCACGACAGAAACGACCAAGGACGCCAGAGGCAAACTCGCCACTACGGTCGGAGAGAAGACGCAAGACTTGGAGACCGTGGTGCACACGCACGGAGACCAGCCACGGGATAAGAGCGTCAGGCAGGTCGGACTTCCGCTCCAGGGGAAAATCGGTGGTGTAGCGCGTGTAGTCGTCGACAAGCACGAGGAAGTAGTGCTCTCGACGCGGCCCATGGACGGGGGCGGGGCCCCAGACGTCCATGTGCAGGGTCTGTAGCGGTGCGGCGGTGGGGGGGAACAAGGAGGAGTGAGGGGCACGGCGGAGCCGGCCCTCGACGCAGGGCGTGCACGGCGGCGCTGGGGAGGAGGGCAACTCAAGGAATGACTTTGGAAGACCTAGGACAAGACCGTGCTGAGACATGTGACGCAGACGCGGGAGCGCGGGGTGACCTAGACGGTGGTGCCACAGAAGTGTCGGGTGAGTAAGCGACCGACTCGAGCAGGCCGCAGCAACTTGGATAGACGCAGCCACCTGAGGAGACGTTCCAACTGGGGGGGGCGCGGTGTCCAGCGTGAATAGGCCAGACACCGGGTCCTGGGGGAACGTGGTGAGGGGAGCACCAGTGGCAGCCTCAATACAGACAGCGTACTGCTCGTGACCAGGAAACGTAGTGGTGATGCCAAGGTCCTGGAGGGAGCCGACACCAACTAGGTTCCTAGAGAACAAGGGGATGTGCAGGCCTGTAAGAGAGCTCGAAGGAACCGTCGGACTGGGAATGGTGGTGGAGCTACGGGCGACTACCGGACCTGAGGAGGGGTAGGCAAGGGTAACTGCGGCGGGAGCGGCAAGCGGCGTCAGCGTAGTGGAGTCGCGGAAGAAACACCGAGAAGCGCCAGAGTCAAGGGTAAAGGAGAGCACAGCAGTGGCGGCCGGGGTCGGTGTGGTGAGGGTTGAGCCAAGACTAAACAAGGCAGGGGATCCTACGCGTGACGCAGTAGGGGAGGCCAGACTAGGCACACCTACACTACGCAACAAGGGGTAGTAGGAACCAGTGACACTAGAGTCATCGACATATAGCACATACAAAGCATAGCTAATCTCATCCATGTCCATATCAAAGATCTGAACACTATGGCGAAGCAAGCTGTGCGAGTCGGGGAGGTCGGGCGACGGGCCGAAGCGAAGACGAAACAAGTCGTCCATGCGATGAAAACAGCGGGCGGGGGTGTGACCGATCTTACCGCACACGGAGCCACGACGAGGACCGGTGTGGAGCTGGTATTGATAGCGCCCGTCACCCGAACTACCACTCGACGGCACACTGTGTGCACGACCACCACGCCCACTGCCACCACCGGCGCCAGGCCACCCGGGTGGGAGACCACCAACCCGTCGATGCTGCTATTGCTGCTGCTGCGGCGCTTACTGCTGCTGCTGGTTCTGCTGCTCGGAGGCACCTGCCCCAGTCCCCTCATCCGTAGTACTAGCGGGTGGCCTGGCTCCACCACCTCCTCCACCCCCTCCTCCACTACCGCCGCCGCGCCCATCCTTGGGGAGGCGACCCTTCCCCGGACGGAACTGCGCTGCGGAGGCTGTCGCTACAGCAGGCGCTGTCTCAGCGACAGCAGCAGAACCGTCAGAGAAAGTACACTGAGCGGGGGCACAACCCTGAAAGATAGTGACCAGCACAGTACAGCTAGACTGGGCGATAGAGCGCTGGCGGGTCTCTATGGCAAATAGGGTGTCGACAAAGTCAGTCAGGGTGAGGTCAGCGGGGTGGAGACTAAGGAAGTGATCGTGGGCGGTAGCAAGGCGGTCAGGAAGACGAGTGGCAAGCAGGTAGAGGGTAGAGCAGATGGGTGGCTGAAAGACTCGAAGCTGGGACGCAATGCAGGTAGCGTGCCAAGTCGCGTCTAGCGTGCGCAGGTGTGCGGCCAGGTTAGCGACCGTGGGGAAAGGCGTAAGATCGGGAAAGAGCATGGGCAGGATAAGACGACCGACTGAGGCAGCAGGTGGGGTGGTGTAGCGCGCGACAACAGACTCGAGGAACTCCTGCGCAGTCCTGACTGACCGAAACCGTGGGCGCTCAAAAAGGGAAAGGGCATAACTGATCGCGAGCTGTGCGACTGCGTCACGCGACAGCCAGACTGAGCGGGCAAGGGCGGCAGCGGACTCACGGTCAGTAGACGAGGGGTCAGCGGGCAGGGCAGCAGGGGGGTCAGGGCAGTGGAGCGTACCGTCGAGGTGGACGGCCAAGGAGTGGCCGTCATGCCGCTGACCAGTGAGGTGACGGCGGAGGCCGACGAGCCAAGTGTCAAACTCGACCGGCTGGCCATCCGCGTCGAAGCGCAGCACCGAGTCTGCCATCAAGGTTGGTACGGCGGCAGAAGTGCGGGGCAGTACAGTGCAATGCGGTATAGTGCGGTTCAATGCAGTACAAGGCGGTGTAGTGCAGTACAGTGCGGTGCAGGGCGATGCAGTGCGGTGCAGGGTCAGCGCGAGCCGGTTGGAAGGCGAGGCCGGCAGGGCGACGGGGCCGACGGTGCCGACGCGGTGACGCGGTCGGCTTCGGGACAGTGCCGGCGACGGGACGGGGCCGGCTGCAAGACGGGGCCAGCTAGGGGAACGGGCCGGCGGCGGGACGGGGCCGGCTACGAGGACTGTGGCCGTGAGGCCGCGGGTCGACGGGGCCAAGGGGCCGCTAGGGGAAGGGGCTGCGGGGCCGCTAGGGGACGGGGCCGCGGGGCCGCTGGTCGACAAGGCCGAGGGGCCGCTAGAGGATGGGGCCGCAGGGCCGCTAGGGGACGGGGCCGCGGGGCCGCTAGGGGATGGGGCCGTGGGGCCGCTGGTCGATGGGGCCGAGGGGCCGCTAGGGGACAGGGCCGCGGGGCGCTAGGGGACGGGGCCGCGGGACCGCTGGTCGACGGGGCCGAGGGGCAGCTAGGGGACGGGGCCGCGGGGCCACTAGGGGACGGGGCCGCGGGGCCGCTGGTCGACGGGGCCGAGGGGCCGCTAGGGGATGGGACCGCAGGGCCGCTAGGGGACGGGGCCGCAAGGCCGAGGGGGGGACGGGACCGCGGGGCCGCGGGGCCGCTGGTCGACGGGGTCGAAGGGCCGCTAGGGGACGGAGCCGCGGGGCCGCTGGTCGACGGGGCTGAGGGGCCGCTAGGGGACGGGGCCGCGTGGCCGCTAGCGGACGGGGCCGCGGGGCCGCTAGGGGACGGGGTAGGCGAGACGGCTAGGACCTACGGCGGAAGTGCTGGTGGGAGAAGGGGACCTAACTTATTCATGATACCAAATCAAACTGAAAGAATGACAAGAATGTGAGAGTACAAAGCATTATAACATAGGGGGATGTACTCTCTAAGGCACAACCCTATATGGTCTACAATATTACACACAAATGTGTTTGATACCAGTAACACCTACCAAGCCTACAATTATATATCAGATATAATTTAACAAATACTACATGTTGGAAGTTACGATTGTGCTATCTGGTGATTGCAGTCCATCAGCACACGTTCAAGGATATCTAGCGCCTTCTCAACCACCCTTGTAGCATGGGTTATGATACCGTATGAGTGTTCCCCAGTTCCAAAACACAAGTTATATCACACCCATAGCACAGTATTCTTGTCTCCCTCCATTAGCTCGCTATGATTGTTTCTCACAAATCTGTGCGCTTACGCCGCTAATGCAAAACTCAATTAAGTTCTGCTTGATATCACCACAGGTTACGTGTAACGGTCGGCCAATGGCACTGCGTACTTGCGAGCTTAGCTGTACAGGACGGCTGACAGCTTGAGCTGGATGACTGGTGTTCCAAACGACTCGCTGCGCTGTGCACCTGCTGGCGGAAAATATCTCAACAGCATTGAGTCAAACGTCGTCCTATACAGTACGTACTCTTCGGATCGGGACGGGATGTCAACTTTGCTGACCTAAGAATTCTCGACCAATGAAAGGCTAGCTAGTTGACAGCACTTTATAGTTTCACACGGTTCAATGCTGAACAGCAATCCCTCCTGACCGAGTGCTGTGCTGGCCCGGGATTCTTGCAGTGCGCGTGACATCCATGCGCGTTGCGCACACGCCGGGTCCAAGCTTCCGCTGGAGCCTTGTGTGTCAGAGATTCTTCAATCGTACACATCAGGGCCTAGTTTTTAAGGGTAATTACCCAGAATGAATAACATTAAGAGTTGGCGCTGGGCAAGTTCCGGAATTTGAACGGGTAGAGTTATCGGGGTCTCCGGAATTTATAGAAGTGGTGTTGCAGGGGGCTCCTGGCAGATCAGAATTCGCTGAGGGGGCAATCCGGCTGCAACTGCCAAGAAGTACACCCCCCATCCCCCCCCCCCCCCTCCTCTCCCCTTCCCCCCTCCTTGCATCTAGGGTGGCAGAGACATTTTTTCGGCAAAGTTCCCAACTTTCAGAAACAATCCCACGGAGCCCCCGAACCCAGGAAATTCAGCGAAGTCCCTCACACACTGTTATAACTCCTCCCACACCCGCACAACTCAGAAAATTCAGCTAAGTCCCCAACTTCCAGCAGCATTCCTTCCTCAACCCCTCAACCAAACCAAAATGGTGAAGTCCCGCATAAACAGACAGACCGTGCTCCTCCCACCCATACACCAGAAACCCGGAATTTTTGGCAAAGTCCGTCACAGCCAGGAACATTCCTTCTTCGACCATAGAGGAATTTGGTGAAGTCCCTCCCAAACAGAGATAATCCTCTACCCACACCCACAATACTTAGAATATTCGGCTAGCCTTCATTGCATGAACATTCATGCCTTTATCCTATGACATAGAGAGTTTGGCTAAGTCTTCATTTATCCTATATAGAATTTTATACAGAGATACTCCTCCCACAAAGACCAACCTAAACCTAGAATATTTGGCGTTCCTCACAGATTGGCAAATTCCTCCTACAGCCCCGCACGTCCACGCAGCTAGGAAGATTTGGCTAAAAAGGTTTAGGGCTGTTTCTAGTAGGTGTCATCTTGAGAAAGTGTTATCCGAGAATGTTGGAAACCCATCACAACCGTTATTTCAAAACTTCAATGGTTGGCGTTGGGTTTCCAACATTCTCGGATGACACTTTCTCAGGATGACACCTACTAGAAACACGCCCTTAGTCATGTTCCCCTCCTCCCCCTTCCCGCAACCCAGAAAGTTGCGAAGGGTGCTGACACCGATTTTACCATACTTTAGCGAGTTTGTAAAAAAACTAGCGGGAAAAAAATATCACTCTTAACCTAGTAAGCCCAAAAGTACTCTCTCTTTTTGGCACGTTGCAAATATTACATTGTTTGGACCCTGAACATTGTGACATGTTCGAGTCAATGTATGCTGTACTAAAAGTAACTTTGTACCCGAATTCGGATGAACAGAAATCAACTACCCTGAAATCCGGACGAATCAGGGTGCAGGGAGGTAGGGAATCCCGGAGAACATAGTTTAGGGCATTTTTCTAGTAGGTGTCATCCCAAGAAAGTGTCATCCGAGAATGATGGAAACCCATCGCAACCTTTGAAGTTTCGAAATAACGGTTGCGATGGGTTTCCAACTTTCTCGGATGACACTTTCTGGGGATGACACCTACTAGAAACAAGCCCTTAAACAAACCTTACCGTGAGCCCTAGTACACATACATACCGGAACCAGCCCTTCAGAAAGTTTTTATGTGTACTTCCTTACAAATGAACATACAGAAGTTGTTGCCTTGAGTAGTACAGTATTTTTGGCTGGTCGTTGGGTGTTCATTGACAAACCTTGCAGTCGCAGGTGATTCGTCTGCCTCATCAGCCTGATTGCGTGGCACATGTCAGGCACCACACAGTCATGGCCCCTAGAAAACAGCGTGTCAGTCGACTGCTTTGGCCACGTTGTACGAGTTTTTTAAGTTCCCCTCGTAACCAGTGGAATGGTCCTTCACCGCCCTGATACAGTACAGGGTTTCACAACGCTAAGAGCTTTTCCGCATTTGAGTTCATGTGTACAAGATTCGGAACATGTGCGGCATTCTACTGTATATAGGTTTTTTCTCTCTCTCGTCAAAATATCCCCAACATAGTGTCACTCACTGTCGTCGTTCAGCGGCGGCATGTGACGACGGCGCGACGCTGCCCTCCGGCGCTCCGCGGGGCCTCGTGCCAGACAACTGCTTCCTGCCCCTGGCGGCGCTCCGTTCCCCGTTTCACCATGCAACTGCGTTGCTGGTTCTGCTGACCAAAATCATTTTGGTTCTGTACACTGGTACATGCTGCACAAATGAAGGTGGATGTGTACACTGTGCAGCGGTGAAACGAGGATTCTGAGCAAACTATACCAACAAAATGCAAATTTCAATAGCACATCGCGTTCAGCAAAAAATCCCAAATCCAAATTCTCCCCACCTCCACCCTCCCCACCGCCACGCACCTTCTCCGTGTTCTTCCGTCTTTTCCCTATAGCATCTTGGTCTGCCTGTCCCTTCCCCTGCAAGCCACTCCCTTCTAGACCATTCCCCAACAGCAGCATCATCGCGTTCCCGCTACTCTAACTCATCACCGTCAGCCGCTAGCAGCCCAACTCCTGCACGCCACCGGGCAAGCAGGCTTCCCCTCCAACCATTTCCTCCATCTGCATCAACAACGGAGCTTGGCGCAACTTGCATGTTCTGTTTCTCGATCGCTGTGTCTGCTTGCCTTGCCGTCCTCGTTTTGAGTGCTGGCCGCAAATTGCTTCTTCACTCACAATTCAATCCAAGGTGGCTCATTTCCAGCCATGGCAGTCTCAAGCCATCCCGTCGAATCAATTCGCCTCGCTCTGGCAAGCATGCTTCACTCCTCTTTCACCAGTCCAACCCAAGCCCGCCACGCGTGAAACCAACCAGGTAAATTCAGCCGCCGTGAGCCAGACTCGAAGATTTTTACTCCAGCGAACGCCCCGCCAGTCCTAGAAGTACTCAGCCTGTTTCGCGCGTCAACGAGGCCGGAGCGTCCTGTTATCTAGCCTATAAACTTCCCAGCCGCGACTGACGGTCCGCTTCCCCGTGTTGGCGACGGCCTCCGTCTCCATTGGCATTACCACCACTCGGCGGACCTTGAACCTGGAAAAATCCGTTTCCGCGTTATCCGCCCCGCGTTGTCCGCCTCTCGGCGGGTACTATCGCTGACCAAGACTCCGCGTCAAGCGCTTCTGGGCCAAGACACTGTCATCTCCTCAGGACCCAATTACCAGCAAATCCCAGACCCAGCCGAGCCTCCGTGGGCTCGTCAGAATCGAAGTACCTAGCGCGCCGACTCGTTCTACCGACCCAGCCTCGCACGACCCATCCGCACACGACCCAGCCGCACACGACCCAGCCGCACACGAACCAGCCGCACACGAACCAGCCGCGCACGAACCAGCCGCACTCGAACCAGCCGCACACGACCGCTAAGTGCTAAGCGAGCCGTCGTCGGTCGCGCAAGCCGCTCTAGCTTTAGGATTGATTTATGGGCCGCCGTCGGTCGCTCCGGCATCGCGTGCATATCCTATCGCACGGCCTCCGTCTCGCGGAACCGCCGCATGATACTTCTTCCGGGCACGACGTGAACGACCGCGACGGCGACGCGCAACACCCGCTGCTGCCGCCGTCGCCTTTCCCGCCCAACGGCACCGCCGGCGGCAACAACGGGACAGGCTACTACTCCTCCCGCGATGACGACGCTTTTAATGGAACAGCTGTTACGGGGACAACTCCGCGAAACAGCAGCAGCAGCACGACTGGCGGAAAAACGGACCACGACGATGGTCACGACGACCATCCGTATCCGAAACCCGATAGTAGCAACGGCGACGGGTCATCTGCCGGCGACGCGGGCTCCGGCGGCTCCTCGTCGTCTCTGCGAATCGTGTCGGAAGTCGCGCTGTCTGCAGTGATCGTCGTGCTCGTCGTCGTCATCGTCCTCGTCGCCATCCGTCGCATCCGCTGGCAAATCGCGCGAATCTACGGCCGCCGCGGCCGCCGCCGCAACAACCCCGCGAACGGCGCCGGGCCCAACGGCGACCCCGGCGCCGCCGCCGCCGCTGCTGGCGGGGGGCGGTGCCCGACGTGCCGCGGGCTCGACAGCGCGGCTATAGACACCGTGGGGCACGTGCTAGTGTTCGGCAAGAATCCCCTGTGTCCGGGAGCGGGGGGCGCGGCGGAGGGATTAATATTCAAGGACGGCGGCGAGGAGGTGGAGGAGGATAGGTGCTCGTGCGGGTCGGCGGTTAGTGGGCGGGGGAAAGGGACGGGGGAGAGCGGGAAGGGCGAGGCGGGGGCGGATGCGGAGCACGCGGAGGAGGAGCGGGTGGGTGATGCGGTGACTGTTGTTGTGGGAGAGGAGGGAGAGGGGGAGAAAGAAAGGGAGGAAGGGGAGAGGGACGAAGTACGGGAGGAAGGAGAAGCGAAAGAAAGGGAGGGAACTGTGGAGGAAGGAGGGAATGAAGGAGGGGAGGTAGCAGGGGAGGTAGGAGGGGAGATCGCTGAGGGAACAGAGCAGAAGGAAGGAAAGAGGGAAGAGGAGGAGGTGGAAGAGATACGAGAAGATGACAAAATGCGAGAAGATGACGACATACGAGAAAATGGCGACATTCAAGAAAACGGCGAGATTCGAGAAAACGGCGAGATTCGAGAGGAGGGCGAGACGTGCGAGGGTGCAGAGGGCCGAGGGAGAGAGGCGTGCGAGGACGGAGCGAGCGACGTGTGGGTGGAGGATCCAGCACAGTCCATCTCCATCTCCGTGTCCGTGGACGCCACGTGGCTCACGGAGTGCGCCGTGTGCCTGTGCGAGTACGAGGAGGGCGACGTTCTGCGCTCCCTCGACTCCTGCCACCATATCTTCCACCAGGTATGCAGCGTCACCTGCCCACCACCGACAACCCTCTTGTTTTTCTCCCAAATCTTCTTGACTCCCTTTTCCCCACCACGACCTCTTCCCCCCCCCCTCTTTCCACCTATCCACCTCCATTTCCTTCACTACGCTTTCCCTCCTCATTTTGTCTCAACCCGATTCTTCCTCCTCCTTCCCCCTCCCCCCCCCCCTATTCGTCCTCTCTGCGTCTCTCCTCTCCCCCAGACGTGCATAGACGAGTGGCTGCTCACCTGTGGCTCCTGCCCGCTCTGCCGCTTCTCCTTCACTGCCGACTGGCCGCCGCCTCTCATGCCCTCCACCTCCGCGGGCGCCGCCTCTGCCGCCTCTCTCACAGACCCGCCTTTCAGCCGGTCGGTGAGCGGGCCTATCACCGGGCACACCAGCGGCGGTATGGGTCTGAGTGGGCCCTTGAGTGCCGCTGACAGGGCTGTTTCCGGGCCCATGCCTCGGCAGTCGAGCGAGGATATGGCGGTGGGAAGTGGTGGTGTCTCCACCGGTCTTCGCAGAGCGGCTTCTTCAGACGGGCCCAACAGGTCATCAGCAGCAGCATTCTCTGCTGACAGTGCGTCTTATAGCTCCTCCTCTTTCACCACCTCGTACTACGACTTTTATGGCTCCTGGCCGTCCACTGCAACCTCGTCCGCTGCTACCTCGTCTGCTGGCTCTTACGGCCCGGCCGCGCCCCCTGCTACTGCTGCTGGTGGAGCGCTGGATTCGCCACGACTTGCTGGTTCGGTGCAGGGTTCGCGAGCTGGGGTTCCCTCGGCAGGGTCCCATGGCGAGGCATCAGGTTCGGCATCAGCTTCGGGGGGGGGTGAGGTAAGAACAGGGGCGTTGGAACCTGTGGCAGAGGATGGGGAGGAGGTGTCGTCAGCGGTGTATCCTATGGGCCCACTTGGCAGTGTAGCAGCGGTTGTGCACGCCGAGGGGCTGAGAGGGAGTGGGAGGGCAGGGGAGGGCACGTCAGGGGCAACAGCAGCAGCAGGAGCAGGAGCAGCAGGAGCAGGAGCGGTAGGAGCAGGAGCAGCAGGAGCAGGAGCAGCAGGAGCAGCAGGAGCAGGAGCGGCAGGAGCAGGAGCGGCAGGAGGAGAAGCAGGAGTGGGAGGTGACGAGCACGGGCATCATGGGCACCACCGGTGGGATCACATGCGGGAAAGCCTGAAAGAGGGCGTGAAGTGGCTTATGCAGAGCGACAGGGAGAGGGAGGGATGGGATGACGACACGGATTACTATTACTCGTGGTGACGTCGTGTGATGCTCCCTCTGTGGAAGGGGGAGATTTTCGCCATGCCTCCTCTTTTTTTTCTGCGTTTTGTGGCGCTTCGAGAATAGAGTTTGCGCCATGCATTTTGTCGCCTGCCTTGAGCGAATGTTTGGATGCTAGGCCACGTGTAGTACACATTTTGTACGGCGTGCTTCCTGTATGCCTAGCAAGCTTTGTGCAGAAAAGCCTGAGCTGGAAACGAGAATAAATGGAATGGACCAATCTCTATGGGAAGTTGAGCAACCCGGTAGGTCTATCATCAAATCGATGCAGGCACCAGGTATGTGCAATGAGACATGTAATGGCACCCGTATGGATTGGGCATTTGAGAAGCAGGGTACTGCTGGGACTAGGGGTGGAGTGCGTTCCAGGGTTCTGCTGGGAGGCTGAATTGGCAAAACTTGTGGGTGTCGTCGACCAGGCTAGACTAGAAAGGGGACTGGTGTGCTGAGTTTGAATCGGCTCAGCACTATGCCCTCGAAGCAAAGGAGCTGCGTGACGGTAGATAATCAGGGCCACACAAAGGAAAGGCCATGGTAGTTGTCATATGTAGCGTAACACCCTTGCTTGCAACGCCGAAGATGCGGGTAGCAAGATGGGATGCAATACCACCATACCATGCCATACTTCTTGCTCTGCTTCCTAGACACTGCAGCGGCCCTTCTTGATCTTCTTGGGGTCACGCGAGCAGATGAGTGTGCCGCGCTGCAGGGGGTCCAGGCATGGGTACCCATTGATGCGGCGGAAGCAGTCCTTGATGCCGTTGAAGTAATTGAACTGGATCATGCCGCACCGGTCGTTGTTCACCACCGTGTGGAAGCTGCTTCTAGGGCACACCCCTGTGGAGTAGCTCGTGCTGCCCTGTATGCACACCTGCATTGGCAAGACGCAGAGACGTGAGCAGAGACGTGGGGGATAGAGCAGTGAGGGGAATCGGGCAGTGGGGGTGTAATGTGAACCACCCTCCTGTAACACCGCAAACAGCACACCTCACAACCCTACAGTACGCCATCAGAGGCCCCTCACCTCACCTCACCTCACCACACCTCACCACAAATCACATGCGTACCTCAAACCCTGTAAACCCCCCAGCGCTGGTGGGGGGAATGAGGCGGTTGCACTGGATCCCCGGGTTCAGCCGGTAAAACTCCAGCGCACTCAGGGGGGGGTTCGGTACACTCCGCACCGCCTCACACGACTCCCCTCCCTGTACCAGATACGTCTGCAAGCACACCGGGATCAGCAGATCCAGAGCCCCGCCCCCCTCCTCCTCCCCCTCCTCTCTCCGCTCCACACATACAACTTGGCCTGGAGTGAGGGAGTCACCACTGCTGCTGCTGGTGTCGGTGCATGTGAGAGCGCGGTTGAGTCCCTGGAAGGCTACTGCACAGGGCTGGTCCGGGAGATCGCAGAAGGTGACGAGGCCGAAGGTTACTGCTATGGAGTAGCAGGTGTCGCCCTGCAGGGAAGAAAGGTCCAGGCCAGGGGCGGGGCCAGGGGCGGGGCCAGGGGCGGGGCCAGGGGCGGGGCCAGGGGCGGGGCCAGGGGCGGGGCCAGGGGCGGGTCCAGGGGCGGGTCCAGGGGCGGGTGGTGAGAGGAAGTGGACAGGATGTGTGGGGAGGAAAGCTGAAGGATATGGCACGTGAAAGTGCCCCAGCTGTTCTCGTGGCCTGTGGCAGTGCTGTGGTGTTGCGCAGAGAGCAGTCGGATATGCACTGGCAGTGGGACATGCGCGAGCAGTCCGACATGCCCGAGCCGCATGTGAAAAGATGACAAACCACCAGGTTGGTCGTGCAGAAGGGACGTACAGGAAGCACAGTGTAGAAGACGGAGCAGGGGGTGGCGAGTCTATTTTTTAGGCGCCTCAAAAAGAGAAGGGACGTACAGGGAGCACAGTGTAGAAGATGGAGCAGGGGGTGGCGCGCACGGGCGGGGCAACGTTGACGACTGTGTTGATGGGGAGAGGCAAGCCAGCATCGCACAGAGCTGCAATGGTGGGCTGTGGCAGGCAGAGACGAGCAAAAAGACGAGAAGAAAAGATCACGGGGAAGATGGGCAAAGAAAGATGAGTGGGGAAGGCGGATGGAGAAAAACTAGAAAACGGACAGAGGAAGGGGTGAACAAATGGCACATGCTCTTACAGTATGGAGAGGACGAGTGAGTGAATGAAAAGAGGTGTGGCCAGGGAGGGAGGCAGCATGCGCGTACTGTGTTCTGCTGGGTGAACTGTTGCAGGGAAAGGTCGTAGATGGGGTAGATGTGCACGCACTGCATGCCCGCACTCTCGCACCTTGTATGTGCCGTCCGTGCTGCCTGCACGGAGAACCCACGGGTTCACATGGAGAGAAGTGGGAGAGGCGTGCTGTGAGCCAGGCAGATCCAGGACTTCGGCTCCAAGTGTGTGTGTTTGCAGGGGGGGTTCTACTTTTGAGGCGCCTAAAAAATAGTGGGCCAGGCAGGTTCAGGACTCTGGCTCTGTGTGTGTTTAGGAGGAGCGAGGAAAGAAGAAAACTGTGGCAACCACAAAAGTGAAAGGGAGTGAAAGCTCTGAAGGTGACTGTTTCGTGGAACAAGAGGAGGGTTCCTGGAGCGCAGGAGAAGGTACCTGGAGCGCAGGAGAAGGTACCTGGAGCGCAGGAGAAGGTACCTGGAGCGCAGGAGAAGGTGCCGTCCACAGTGGTGCCCTGCCTGAAGCCCGGAGGACACACACACGAGTACGACCCCGCCCCGTCATTCACACACATGCCCACCGCACACGGGTTGCCGTTGCTCGACCCACACACGTCCACTGGGGGGAAAGGGACAGAGAGGCGGGAGGGGGAGGGGAGGGAAAGGGGAAGGAGAAGGAAAGGCATGGGAGGAAATTATTGAGTCGACTAAAAAAGCACTGAGGGAAGGGGGAAGGAGAAGGAAAGGCATGGGAGGGAGTGAAAGCCTAAGGTACAGGAAAGAGAGAGGCAACCGAAGAAGAGATATGTGCCATACACACACCATGCCAATCAGTGCAGTACAATGATATGCCTGCCAACCATGCCCACACGGTCCCCTTACAAGCCCCGCACAGTCCCCTCACAACCCCCTCACAGTCCCCTCACCATAGGTGCAAGTTCTGGAGCCGTCAGCATTGGTGGCCTGCACAAAGGGCGCGGTGCACTCGCACTTGATGGTGCTATTAGAAACTGAGAACTTCATTGATAGAATGAGCAAGAGCATACATCCTTAAGTACCAAGCATCGGAGAGGATGGGAAGGGATAAGGGAGAATCGGAGGGAATCCCAAGGGAATCCTCCCAAATCGTGAGGATTTGGGATGGATTTGGGATGGATTGGGTTGGGATAGGTTGGGGATGAAAACATGGCTACACCCAACCTAACAAATATGCGTATCCCTAAAACCAACAAATTGCCAACACACAAAGTTGTGCCAACCGAATTGCAGCCTATCTCTAACAGGTGCTGCCATCGCGCCGGCAGGGGAAGCCGCCGCAGGCGTTGAAGAGCGAGCCACTGCCGTCCCCCATGGCCCCTCCGCTACAGGGGTCCTTGCTGCCTGCGGGGAGGGATCACAGGGGAGTGGTGGATGAGATGAGACTCACAAGTGCTCAAATCACTGGCCTGTCCGAAGCCCGGGGAGAGGGGGGGGGCCTTGCTTCCTGCAGGTGAGATTGGTGGATAAGAAGTTACTGGCAAAGAGACGGCCCACGGGGATGGGAAGGAGGATCGGTCGGGTGGAAGAGGAGAAGCGGACCTCTGACAGGAATGGTCGCCTGTCGTCTATGGAGGATCATTCTGTTTCTTTGAGATTTTTCAAAAGCAAAACACATAATTACCTGTCGTCCACAGAGGATCATTCCTGTCAGAGTTTTCCGACAGATGCAGACGGGAAGGGCATGATATAGACACACACGCACTTCTGACGATGGGGTAGAGGCCTGGCAGCGTGTTGATGCCGCACACCACGTCGCCCCCCTGGATGTCCATGCGCATGTGGCCCCCATCGCCCCAGGCAGCTCCCCATGAGTTGCGGATGATCCAGAAGGGCGGCACCATGTGGGGGAAGGCGTCGTCTGCCCCCACCAGGCGGTACCCCACCAGCAGCACCACGTGGTTCAGGCTGTACGTGAAGCACAAGGGGTCCGCGTACTTGTAAAACTGAACGGGTGACGGGGTGAGTGAGCAACAGCGCAGGGAAAAGACAACGCGGGGTTGGTTTGGAGGCAGTATGAAGGGGAGCCGGAGTGGGGTATGGATGCGAAAGTAGAAAGAGAGAGAGTGGGAGGTTTAAGACCATTCGAGAGTGGGTGGTGAAGGGTGGTGGAGGAAGAGGAAGAGGAGAAGGATGACAGAAGGAAGTGATCTTGATTGAATTGAAAGAAATTGGATATCAGGGTGCATTGCTTGGCCGATTCACCAAGTACCATGGCTCACCCACCCCATCATACTCCATGAACGAAGGTGCAGACGCCTCTATGTGCACCACCACTGGTTGCCGCCGCACCGCCAGCAGCAGCCAAAACCAGCCGTAGAAAGACGCGCGCTCGAATCCCGCAATCCTCATGCCCCTCCGTGCCTGCAGTTGATGGCAGTGATTCAAAGAAACAAGAAAAGAGGCACTTACGTGACGAATAACAGTGCCAGCATCAGTCCAGTGGACAACGGGATACGGAAACTAAGAGCAGCACAAGGGTAAGCCTCCTAGCTGCTCTCCCACGTTCCCTAGGCCCCCTCTCACTTGCCCATCAACCCTTCTTCCTTGACTCACCAGAGGTCGCTTCTTCCTCTTCTTCCCTCCGAATAGCCGTTTGAGCAGCTGCACCAGCCCGCTACCCGCACTCTGCTGCCCCGCCTGCCCTGCCTGCCCTCCTCCTCCCCCATTCTTCCCCCAACCACCCCCCACTCCCCCACCTGCCACTTTCATCCCACCAGCAGCAGCAGCAGAAGAAGCAGCAGCAGGTTTTGCAGTCTTGTTACTCCCAGGCAGCAGGCCTTTGCTGGCCTTCCCAGCAGCGACAAGGTACGCAAAGGCTAGAAAGGACGATCCTCCGCCGCACCCCGCCCTCATGTCTCGCCTGAGCCTCTCAGCTGACAGCTGTGGCTGTGCTGCGTTGAGCAGGATGCCGTAGGCCGCCTCGATGCTGCCCACCACCGCATATGCCCAGCAGTCCCCACACACACCCTGGCACTCCACCAGCCACATCAGACTCGCCTGCTGCTGCTGGTTCTACTGGTTCTGCTGGTTCTGCTGGTTCTGTTGTTGCGCCTCCCACCCCTCCGCTGCCGCCCCTGCCCCTCCCGCTCCTGCTCCGCCCTGCCCTGCCCCTTCACTCTGCCATATAAACCCTGCGCTGGAATACCGAAAGATGGCATTCGCTTGGGGCAGATAGTGCAGCGAGGTCAAACTCGAACCCGAGTGAGAATCCAGTGGTGATTCGCCACGCTGCGGCAGTGGTAATAGACCAAGACAGGATGGTCTGAGCCTGTGGAGGAGAGGAGCTGGTTCCCGTGAATCCAAAGAAGTACGCCCTGCCGTCGCTGTTTGTGCTACTGGGCTGGAGAATCCTCCACAGGGCGATTTTTAGCCTGAGCAGCGGCTTGTCGGGCTGAGCCCGATCGTCTGAGACAAACACCTCCAGTGCACCGCCAGCTTGAAGGGGCTCATACTCCACCCACACGTACTTCATCGCGCCGTCGTTGAGGGTAAAGGGCGGGGTTGTGGTGGCGATTGAGGTGAGCAGCCCGTGCGCATTCACCCCCAGGTGGTTGCTGTTGGGGTCGCCGGTCCCTGCGCTCTTGGCTGTGTCGAATTCCACCGCCACGCTGCGTGTGCTCATGCCTTAATACCGCAGCCCGCTGCTGGCCTCGGGGACGTCTCTGCGGACGCCGAGATCACGGACGCAAAGCCCTCCGCGTCACTTTGTGTTTCCGAACCACCACCATCACCACTGCCGCCGCCACCGCCGCCGCCACTGCCGCCCCCGCTCCCACCACCAGAGGCACCCGCCAGGTTGAGCAGAAAGGTGAAAGCGACTCGGAAGCCGAACTGGCAGCCTTGTTCGGTTCGCTTGACGGCAAAGGAGTAGAGCGGACGGGGCGGGCTATGAAGGCCGCGCCCCACGAGTCCGCTGCTGCTGGCAGCTGGGGCAGGCTGATCCGCCCGATGCCGCCCCCGGCCGGTGCTGCAGTGCCGTCGAATAACATTGCCACACCGTCCTCAGATTTGAGGTTTGTGTAACCAGGATTGTCTGGTAGGGGTAGGGGGGGTGAGGAAGGGGGTTCGTTGGGTGGTCGGGAGTTGGGGGGGTGGGGGGAAGGCGGGGAAGGGAAGGGGGAGGGAGAAAGGCAGAGGGGGGATGGATTTCAAGAGGCGATCCCAATGCGGCAGGCAGGCACAGGGGTGGTGAGACTATCGGGAAGCGGCGAATTCAATCGCATTCAATTGGGCAACACATTCAATGGAGTAACGCAAGATCCAGCCAAGACACAGGCTCTCCTCACATTCTGCATCAATGCAGCTCCCAGGCAGCTCCCCTTGCACGAACCCCACGTCGCAGATGCACGAGGGCACCCGGTTCACCCCCTCAAAGTAGCACGTCCCATGCCCGCCGCATGGCAACACCACATCCCCAAGAGCCTCGTCCCACACCAGCCCACAGAACGCGTTGCACACTGCCGGGCCGCGCTGTGGCGGCCCCGCTCACATGTTAATATCCGGGCCGCTGATTGTGGAGAGAACGCAGTTGGAGAATACGGTCACGCCCGTGCAGTCCAGAGGGGAGGGGAAGGGGCAGCAGAAGAAGTTGGAGTCAAGCTGGTACTGCTGCAGGGACGCGGAGGGCTTCAAGAGGAGTGCGCCCGTCAGCTGGTTGTTGCGCAGGTTGCTGGGGGGGGGGGAAGAGGGGGGAAGAGGGGGGAAGAGGGGGAAGAGGGGGGAGAGGGGGGAGAGGGGGGAGAGGGGGGTTGGGATTTGGGGGTTGGAAAGGATTGGGTGGGCAAGAGCCATGGCACTTATGAGGGCGAGAAGGGCGAGAAGGGTGAGGAGGGTGATGAGGAGCAACAGGGCAATGGACGAGAGAAGAGGGGAGGAGGAGGGGACTACGGGGTATGGGATGGCATGGCATGGCGTGGCATCACATGGCATGGTCTGGCACAGAGCAGCTCAGCATGAGATGGCACAGACGGGCGTAAAGTGGCGTGGCATGGCATTGCATGGCATGGTGTGGCATAGCATTGCATGGCATGGTGTGGCATGGCATGGCAAGGCATGGCGTGTCATGGCATGGCGAGGCATGACGTGGCATGGTGTGTCATGGCATGGCATGTGGGTGCAGGGAGACGACAGCGGCGCTCACAGCTGCACTAAGTTGGTCATCAAAGTTATCCTAGTTGGGAGGGACCCCGATAGCTGGTTGTAGTCCAGTACCCTGCACAGCCACAGGCAGAACGGCACACAGAGACAGCAGAGGTGCAGGGAGGAGAGGACACAGCGAGGTGAAAATTAACAAGCAAGGGATGGGAGCCACCCCGATAGACAGTTGCAGTCCAGTACCCTGCACAGCCACGTGCACCACAGTGCACAGAGAGGCAGCAGAGCTGCTGGCAGGACAAGATACAGCGAGGTGAACATGCAAGGTACTGGTCGGAGTGACGAGAAGCGGTGGGGCAGACGAGACGAGAGTGCGTAGAGGGGGTTGGGATAAGAGAGTGAGTGACAGAAGCTGCCGGCAGTAGAGTGGTCCCTGTGGGGACAGAAGCTCTACCACACCCTTCTGAGGGCTTGCAGTCTCCAGCTGCCACGGGGGGAACTGGAGCTGGCGCGCACCTGGCAGCAGGCGTTGCTCCCACCATCCCTCGGAGGGCTCGGCTTGACAGACCCCACAGTGGAAGGACCACACACCTTCCTTACCAGCGTCGCCCAAGCCCAGCGACTCCTGGCCTCCCTCCCCTCGGACCCATCAAGCCCCCTGGCGGCAGCGGCACGCTCCCTTGCACCACCCTTTGCCAGCCCCACCCCCCTACACACCTGGTTGGCTGAGTGCGAAACGGCGCTGCCGGCTCCAACCCTGGAGCTCCTGCGGACCAAGCGCACGGAACCCTCAGACGCCCCACTCCAGCACTGCCTCGCCCTCGAGGTCCACGCCGCTCGGTTCGCCGAGCAGTTAGCAGCGACCAGGGAGATAGAGCTTAATCCCCTCAGCGGCCACACGCAGCGGCTCCTCTCCCTAACGGGGTATGGCGCAGGCAGGGTAACGGCACCTTGCAATCCCCCTCTTCCCATCACTCAGGCTTGCGCCCCCACACTTCGCCATAGCCCTCGCCTTCCGCCTGGAACTCCCCTTTCCTGCGTCGAAAGTGTGCAATTGCACCAAAAGGATCAAGACCCCGGACCCAAGGCTCCCCAACCACCTATTCCGCTGCGGGACGGGGCACGGGCGCACTGACACCCACAATGCCCTCCGTGACGAGTGCATCCGCATGGGCCAGGACGCGCAACTCATCGTCACGAAGGAGACAGCCCTATACAACCGCCGACCTATCCATTCGGGACCGGGATTCTGGAGCAGTCTGGATCTGCGACGTCACCGTCACGGACCCAGTCAGCTCCAGGGATCCCCTGGCCCGCAAGGGGCACGTCTACGTGGCCAGGGAACAAGCGGGCAAAGAAGATCGACGACTACCGCCACAGGGCAGAGTATGTCGGCTTCTTCCCGCTGGCCGTGGAGACCTACGGCTGCCCCTGCACGGAAGTGCTGGCCTTCCTAAAACTCCTGGCAGACACGGCCGCCCGGCACCTCTTCAACGCCGACCCCAGCTCATACCAGGCGGCGAAACTACTCAGCCAGTTCCGCCAGCGCTGGTCCGTCACCCTCCAGAGGGGACAACCCTCACCTACCTGGGTAAGGTGAACGAAGCCTTGCCGCTGGAGTGGCCCCCCGTGGGGGCCCCCGAGGCAGGCATGTCCCTAGGGGACTGCTCCGCCGTGATAGAGCCCTAGGGGGAGCAGCGGTAGGGCAGGGTAGGAGACTTACCTGCTGCTCAGTGCTTGTTTGTGCCCGATCTACTTGTCTAGCTTGTACCCAGGATTCCCCAGCAACAAAGGACCCTTCCAGAGAGGGATGGCGCGCTTACATGAAACGCAGGTTGGTGAGAGCGGCAAGCGAGGTGAGTGGGCCATCCAGATCGTATAAGTCCAGTGATCTGCATGAGGGTTTAGGGCGGATTTCGGGTTTACGGTTTAGGATGGGCTTGTGAATGGTTGTGCATGTGAGAGAGGGGGGCAGATGGAAAGGAGGCGGGGCGGAGAGACATACGAGGGCGTGTAACCGGAGAGCAGAGTGCAGTGAGTGAGCAGGCATGGCATTGCAGGGAGGAAAGAGTGCAGGGAGGAAAGAGCGCAGGGTGGGGAGGGAGAGAGGGCGGGGAGGGAGTGAGGGAGGGGAGGGAGAAATCGAGGTGTGATGTACAGGTGGGAGAGGGAGGTGAGGTGGGTAATTGTTGCAGGCAGGGAGCCGAAAAGTTGGTTGTGAGTGATGGACCTGGCGGGTAGAGAGAGCCCACGGAGGCAGACAGACGGACTCGAGCCTTGAGCGGGGTACATGCATGGCACGAGAGGGCAGGGCAGGGCAGGGCAGGGATGCATGGCGTGACGGGTCGATTTTTGAGGCACCTCAAAAATAGACTCCTCATGCGAGCTTTGAGCGGGGCGCATGCATGGCATGGGAGGGCAGGGATGCGTGGCGTGACGGGACTATTTTTGAGGCGCCTCAAAAATAGACTCCTCACGCGAGCTTTGAGCGGGGCGCATGCATGGGATGGGAGGGCAGGGGTGCGTGGCGTGATGGCAGCCCAGCGTGAAGAGCATGTGAGTGTGGCATGCAGGCTCACAGGGACTGGAGCGTGCGCAGGTCCCCAATGCTGGGGGGAAGGGCTCCAACGGGGCGGTTCTTGTCCAGAGACCTGGGGAACACACACACAGAGATATGCACGCACGCAGACACGCACGCACACACTGATCCACTGCATACCCTCAACGTTCGACGCACACTGATCCACGTGGCTGTGGAACATACAATGCCACGGCCATCCCACCCACCCACCATGCCACAGCCATCCCACCCACCCACCATGCCACAGCCATCCCACCCACCCACCCACCATGCCACAGCCATCCCACCCACCCACCATGCCACAGCCATCCCACCCACCCACCATGCCACAGCCATCCCACCCACCCACCATGCCACAGCCATCCCACCCACGCACCATGCCACAGCCATCCCACCCACCCACCATGCCACAGCCATCCCACAGGCGGCCAACCCTCACAGTTCTTGCAAGTTGGCCAGCCGTTTAATGGCGGTCGGCACAGATCCCGACAGCGGGTTGTCGTCCAGATAGCTGATGGGACCATGGAGGAGCAAAAGGTGAGGTCAGAACAGAAGGAGCAGAGGGAATAGCAGAACGGGGCAGAAGGAGCAGAAGGTTAGAGGAAGCAGAAGCAGGCACAATGGCGATGCACACATACAGCTTGTGGATGGAGTCCCCTGCTGTGCCAGTTATGTGTTCCCTTCCCTGCATACTTCGTTCTCGTTCTCGATTCCCCTTACCTCCACACAGTGCAAGCAGCTGCTACCTACAACACTACAACACTGCTGCACTGCACTGCACTGCCTGCCTGGCACTGCTCCACCGCTGGCCACCTGGCACTGCCCCTAGACGGCTCGAGGATAACACAGCCTGCAGAAACCCCAGGAGCAGCCGCCACAGGCCACAGGGGCATGCGGGGCTTTAACGAGAGAGGGGTAGGGTGGAACAGCAGTGGCATGGCATGATGGGGGAAGGCGAGGCGGAAGAGGGTGAATGACAGGAAGAGCAGTCTGGGCAGGTTGCCGATGGAATCGGGTATGTCTCCCACTAGCGCATTGGACGACAGCTGCCTGTTGCCACGGAGAGAGTGGGAAGGGCGCGGAGGGTTAGGAAGGCAGGTGACGGAAAGCAGGGGTGTGCAATGTGAGGAGGGAGGGAGCATGGAGCGAGCTGAGCGGCAGAAGAAAGGCAGCGAGAAGGGAGCAACTGCATGTGTTTTTGTCAAATGCATGGTGTGCTGCTGTGCTGCATGCTGTGTGCTGCATGCTGTGTGCTGCATGCTGTGTGCTGCATGCTGTGTGCTGCATGCTGTGTGCTGCATGCTGTGTGCTGCATGCTGTGTGCTGCTTGCTGTGTGCTGCATGCTGTGTGCTGCATGCTGTGTGCTGCTTGCTGTGTGCTGCATGCTGTGTGCTGCATGCCGTGTGCATGCGGTATGGACTGACAGCAATGTGAGCTTGGAGAGCGAGCCTATTTCCGTTGGGATCGTCCCCGCAAGGCCATGGCTCTTGAGGTCCCTGGGGGGGGAGGCAGTGGGGGAGGGGCAGGGCGGAGGGACACGGGGTGAGAGGCAAGGGGGAGAAACATGGGGGGAGAGGCAAGGGGGGGAGAGGGACACGGGGTGAGAGGCAAGGGGGAGAAACATGGGGGGAGAGGCAAGGGGGGGAGAGGGACACGGGGTGAGAGGCAAGGGGGAGAAACATGGGGGGAGAGGTAAGAAGAAACGACGACGGTGGGAGCAGACGCGGAGAGGGGATGAGTGGGCAAGAGAGAGGTTTTGGAAAGGCAGCATAGGCACAAGCATAGCTCAGGCGCGAGACCGCGACTGGTACTTGTGCCATGGTTAGCAGTGTAGGCATGGCATGGCATGGCATGGCATGATGTTTAAGAGGGCAGTCCACTGGGCGCCATGCAGCACCACCGTCCATGGACGCGAGATAACGATGAGGATGGGTGCCGTGATCCCATGGGAGGGGTGTGTGAGCCCATGGGAGAGGGGGGGGGTGTGTGTAGGAGCACTGACATCATGGTGACCTGGCCGGCCTCGTTGCAGGAGAGCCCCTCCATGGCGCCGCATTCCCCGCCCAGCAGCCACGACCCGCTCCCCTGGAACGCGCCCCACTCGCCCTTGAGCACCTGCAGCACCGCAACTGCAAACATGCACATGCACATGCACATGCACATGCAAATGCACATACACATGCACATACACATGGCAGGCGGGCACGCAGCACGCGGGATGGGTGCACACGGGGAGGGGCGCACGCGGGGAGGGGAGCACAGGGGGATCGGGGATTGGCGCACACGGGGATGGGGGTGTGATGCTGGCGGGCGGTAGTGGTGGCGTGGCGTGGTGTGTGCGAGGGTTTGGGATAGGCATGGGGATAAAACAACCCGATGTGGGAAGGTACAGCAAGATGCAGCAGCAGCAAGATGCAGCAAGAGGGGCAGCAGGGACGGCAGCAGTGGCGTTGGCAACAGCAGTCGCGGCGGCAGCGGTCGTGGCGGCATTACATTCGTCAGAGTCGATGGTGACGCCGACGGCTGCGAGAATCGTGCACGTAAGGAGGAGAATCCGCGTCAGTAGAAACCATGCCACGTGTCGCGCGGGGGCAGGGATGCGAGCGACCGGCATCGAAGGCGGCGGGACGGTTGTGGGAAAAGCGGACAGCGTTGGTGGTGACAGTGACAGAAACCGTGATGGTACGCCAGTGACGTTCACGGTCACGTTGACGCTGACGGTAACGGTGACGCAGTAGCGGTGACGGGAAACAAGAATGGTTTGGCCGTTGACGAAGTTGTAGTGGGGTTTGAGTTGAGACGCCTCAAAATCGGCGCGCTAAGTTGGAGTCAGCCGGTAGTTGGAGTCAGTCGGCGCGCCAAGAGTGGACAACTTGTCCACTCAAACGCGTGTGGTGCTTAGTAGTTCAGAACCGTGCTAAGCATTGCATGCGGGGCCTCTGCGGACGTCGTTCCGAGTCCAGTGCAACCGAACTACAGAATCCGTCACGAAGCGACGAGCCAGGCCGTGCAAGCAACTAACCTGTGACTGGTCACAAGGTGGGGGGAGTGAAGCGGCTCAACCTTTCCCCCAGCGCGCGCTTCCCTGCTCCCCGTCGCTCGCTCCCTGCTGCATGCTCCTACCGCAAACAATCGCACAGACAGACGCCCCGCCCCCGCACACAAACCTCCCCATGTTCCTCGTGCATACACCTTCGCTGTAGATCTCAGATTCCGTTCCATTCCGTGCTCCCAGCGGGAAAGGGATTCGCAACCGCACATCGAAACCACACCCGTCCACTCAACTCGTTTCTCTCTGAAGATACATTACTTTCCATACCATGCTGCCATCGCTCCCTCTCCATCCCTTGAGTCCATGACCTGTGACAGTGACCTGTATTGTGGTGGTAGCCGACGACCTTACCTCTAAATTCGACAATGATTAGTGCTTGTTGCTGTAGAGTCCGGCCAGCAACTGCCTCGGAGTTGCCTAGACTGGAAGTGCCGACTGATATGCAACTCCACCATATTGCTCGGTTCGGTTTAGTGCAGGACCACTTAACGAATAAATACATGTGAGAAAATCCAATTGTAAAAAGGCTTCTAATTAACCCATTTTAGGTCACTCATCAGGTGTCATTTGAGGCCGTCAGCCACTCCTGTATCAAAGAATTTCTCGTTTCGACATCAGCACTTGTGATGCACGACAGCATGCGCTAGTCTTACCAACCATTCCCTTCATCAACTTCATCACCATCAGTACTCATGACTGAGCACATCCATTCTACTCATCTACCTACTTCTCCCCCGCATTCTCATCCTGCTCCTCCGTCCACTCCACCCCCATTTCCACCCCCAAGCAAACCCACATTCACTGCCCTCCCTTCAACCTCCTCGCCCCCTTTCACTCGCACACCTTCCTTTCCTCCTCTCACCTTCTGCTCCCATCCCCTACGCATCCCCTCCGCACCCCTCCCTCCCCCTCCCCCCGCCCAAAACAAAAAAACCACTCAGGCAGGGGAGTCGGGAGCGCGGGGGTGGGGGCAGTAGTTGGAGGAGAAAAAGCAGCAGCGGTCCACAGGCACATGCGCCTCGTGCACGCACTCCGCGAGTTGGAAGCCTATCTTGAGCAGCCCCGAGGAGTACTTGTCCCTCAGCCGAGCACCGCCCGCAGAGGTGGGGAAGGCGAGCAGCAGCTGGCACACGGGAGGCGCAGACCGCTGCACCACCCACTGCTGCACCGTTGAAAGGTGGGCCCCGCTGAGGGGGAGCTTGAAGTGGGTAGGGGATGGCAGGAGGGTGGTTGGCAGGGGGGGGATCGGGGGGAGGGTTGGCAGGGATGGGAAGACACGGATGCAAGGAGAGGGGCAAGGAAGACACGGATGGGAAAGGCGAAGATGAGCGGATTTGGTGTGGGAAACGGAAGGCAAGTGCAAGAGAGACACGAGCGGAGTGGTGATGCAGGAACGGATCCACGCTCAGACGCTGATGGACCTGAGACAGCAATGCAGGCAGGGACGTAGCTAGCTCCATCAGTGCCCGGGTGGGCTCATTCAGGCCAGTGCTCATTCCGGCCAGTGCTCATGAGTTAGGGTGCATGGGTGGGCCATGAGTTAGGGTGCACGGGTGGGCCATGAGCTAGGGTGCACGGGTGGGCCATGAGTTAGGGTGCACGGGCAGCAGAATGCATACCTTGAGTATATGTGTTGGCAATGTGAGGGTGGGTGGGAGGCTGTCCATGAGTTGCACTGTGAGTCCCGGTACTGCCTCCTCCATCTCACTCTCCCATGCCTTGTCGTTCGTGCCCGCACCGATGGACAACACCCCACTGCACAGCAGCACAGGTGAGTGTGCACGCACGGACAGAGCGGACGGAACAGGGCGAGCAAAATGTGTGAACAACGGTAACACCAGTCTTGAACACACACAGCTCTACTCGAGCACATGAGCGCAGGAAGCTAAAGAGAACCAAGGTGGCTGACTGAACAGAAATCTTGCAACATCACTTCCACCAAAACCCCTCAACTGCTGCTCCCCCCACACCCCCCACTCCCCCCCTTTACACCCTTTTCCCCCCTTCCCCCCCTTACCCCTTCCCTCTTCCCCGTCCCCCCGTCCTCATTCCCCACTCCTGGCCGTTCCCCTGTGCACCTGCTGTTGCTGAGAGGCTCCAGAGCGGTGGGGAAGGAGCGCCCCTCGCCCCCCACCTTGACCATGGGCCCCAGAGTCATTCGCGCACACACTGCCTCTGGCGCCGGCCCGTGCCATGCCTCCGCCGCTCTGGTCATCTGAGGCACCAGGGGGGGTTGGGTGGGATGGAATGCTTTTGAGTCGACTCCAAAGCATGCCTCTTGCTGCTTTGGTCAGTGAGGCAGCAGAAGGGGTTGGGAGGGATGGAATGGGGCAGCAGGGGGGATTGGGAGGGAGCGATTGGTGGAGGGAGTAGCGCTCTTCCAGCCCTCTTTTTAATCACAGATGAGAAGAAGATACTCTTGTTGAGGGTTTCGGGATTAGGGAGTGCAGTCACCTTGGGAGTGGGATCTCCTAAACTCCTGACTCACTCCCTCCCTCACTTTCTTCTGCGTTCTTAAAGAACTCGTGATGGCTGGGCGGCCTCACAGCACCCACCTCCTCCTTGTACGTGAAAGTCTTGTCGACTAAAATTCCCAAACAACCACCTACAACAAGGAGATAAACGGAGTCACCTTGGCGAAGCTCCTAGAGCACTCCCGCACTGCCATGATGGCGCGGCACATTACACCTTCTCGCGTGCGACAACAAACAATGCAAAAATCCAGTTGTATTTTGAGTCGACTCAAAATACTCCCGCACTGCCATGATGGCGAGGCACATTACACCCACCTTGCACATCTCCCGCGCGTGTGACAACTAACAATGCACAAATCCTTGCAGCCGTCACCTTGGCGAAGTTCCTGCTGCACTCCCTCACATTCTCCCGCACGGCCATGATGGCGCGCCGCATCTCCGCCAGCTTCGGCCCCACGGTCTGATCAAACACCGCACTCCAGTTGGCCTCCCACGGCTGCCGCTCGTTGCACAGGTGGATGCCGCGCCCGTACGCCCGACGCTTGGACGCCGGGGGACCGATGTGCGCCATAGGCGCATAGTAGTGCAGGCGGTGTATGGCCTGGAGGGGGAAGAGGGGCGGAGAGGGGGGGGAGGAGGGGGAGGGGGAGGGGGGAAGTGGGTAAGGGGGGAAAGGGGGGAAGGGGAGGAGAAGGGGGAGAGTAGGTTACTCAGCAGCAAGGCCCAAAGATGTGGCCCCGTAGGGTTGGATGGGCTGCGAAAAGAACAAAGGGAGGAGGGACGGAGAGAGGGAGGTTTTGGAAGGAGCACGAAGGGAAAGAAGGGGGAGGGGAAGCGGGGGAAGGGGGGGTGGGAGGGAGGGAGAGGGGAGAAAAGGCCCGCTGACATGTGACATGAACGAGAATGACCTGGAGCAAGCCTGGGCTCAGTAGCGGGAAGAGAGAGAGGCGGAGAGAGACTTCAGCTCGCCGAAAAGAGCAGAAGCAGCAGCAACGCCTAGGCACGTTCTCTACCCCCCCCCGAAAGAAAGCCACAGCGCCTTGGCAAGCAGGTGGAGGCGGACCGACCTCGTATCCAGTGGCTGGGTCGGTGCAGGGCCGGCACTTGGCGCCGTTGAGCGGCGCGGTGGAGGTGAGCGCGGCCACGGGCATCATGCCGTCCGGGTACACGCGGCGGCTGACCACGCAGAACGGCAGGTCCGCACGCCCCACCGACACGTTCGCCACCTCCAGCTGCACCTTGAAGCCCCCCTCCGAGTTGAGGTTGCTGCAGGGGGGGGGGGAGGGGGTGATGGGGAAGAGGGGGAGGGGGAAGAGGGGGAGGGGAGTGGGTGGGGGAGCAAGTGCGCAGAGCAGAGAGGATGATGTATGAATGGACACGTTGAATTGAATGGGATCAGGGTTGAATTGAATGGGATCAGGGTTGAATTGAATGGGATCAGGGTTGAATTGAATGGGATCAGGGTTGAATTGAATGGGATCAGGGTTGAAGACGTCTATAGCTCTAGCTCTCATTCAATTACTACCTTGCGATTGATGGTCATGTTAAGTGAACCAATTAGTCAACAACGGGGCAACCGATATGTTAGTTGGGAAATGCCACTTCTATTTGAGTTCGCCTGTAAAACAACCTTTCAAGAACTACTCGCCTGTAAAAAAAAAACAAGGCCCTAATTACCAAAGAACCTGCCCACTCCTACCCTTTCCTCTCCCCTGCACTCTCCCCTTCCCTCTCCCCTGCACCCTCCCCTTCTCTTTTCCTGTGCCCTCTTCCCCTGCCCTCTGCCCCCTGCCCTCTCCACCCTGCCCTCTCCCCCCTGCCGTCTCTCCCTTTCCCTCTCCCCCGCGCTCTCCCATGCGCTCCACCCTGCCCTCTCCGCCCTGCCCTCTCCGCCCTGCCCTCTCCGCCCTGCCCTCTCCTCCCTGCCCTCTCCCCCCTAACCTCAGCCCTCTCACCAGTGTGCCCTCTCACCTGTACCCCAGCGTGCCCTGCCCTCTCACCTGTACCCCATTGTGCCCATGTCGCGCAGCATGCTCAGCCGGTGCAGCGCGGGAGCAGCCGTCTCCCACGTGCCAGCGCCAAACCTATCATTCAGCCCCATGCAGTCCGTGCCCCATGGCACCGTGTACTCATCCACTCCAAAGCTCGCCAGAGCCGGCGGCGGCTTCGACCAGTATGTGTCGACGCGCGACCGCACCACCCAGTCGAACCGCATCGAGTGGCGCTCCTCGTACGTGCGGATGAGCCACACGCACCCCTCCACGAGGCGCAGGTACTGCAGCATGCCCTGGTCGCCCTGCGGGGAGTACTGGTCGTGCAGCACGATCCCGCCGCCGTACTCTGTGGCGTTCACCCACGTGCTTGCAAATACCCGCACCCCCGCGAGCTGGTTCTTCTTGGTCCACAGCGTGCCCCAGAGCTTGAAGGCGTTTTCGTCCAGCGGCGAGTGGAGGAAGAGCGAGGGGGAGGGCAGTGACGGCAGCAGGCGCGTGAGGATGGACGGCCACGTGAGCTCGAAGTCGCGCGCGCCGCCCACCAGGCAGACGGCCGTGCGCCACTTGCTGGGGGGCTTGGAGAGAACCTGGGAGGGGCGCGGGGCACGGGTGGATGGAAGGATGGCAGGGGAACAGGCGTGTGAGGGTGGAAGGAGGATGTCGTGATTTCAAGGCGTGTGCCACGCAAGAGACACAGGGCTGTGCGCCAAGCGCGGAGGGTCTCGGAGAGAACCTGACACGGGGAACGTGGGAACAGGTTGGGGAACCAGTTGGGCGGCGGGGAGTGTAGAGAGGAACCTGTGCAGGGACCTGCGCAGGGAGGGACCTGCGCAGGGAGGAACCTGTGCAGGGACCGGTGCATACAGGCCAGGCCAGCACCCTCATCCCCCGGGCAGGAGGGCGGTGGAGGTGGCTTTTCCCCAGCCGCCAGCCAACCCCTGGTCTCCTTACCTGGCCGACCTCTACGCCACTTTGGAGGAGGACGACCCTTAGCCGCGGCGGCAAGAGGGGGGGTGGGGGTGGTTCTACGGTGGGAAGAAAGGGGCTGGTGCCCGTTGATAGTTTTGGCTAGGCCCCATAGGTCCGGGGCCCGTTGGTGATTTCTTGTGTAGTTCCTCTGCTGCTGTTCCTGTTGCTCTACGGCTACTCGCTGCACCTTGCTTAGCTTGTGCGAAGTCATCAATGGCCAGGACCGCTTGAGACAGAGAGACCGACCTTAGGCTGCTAGGTACATAAGGCCTCTTCCCTCCTCATTCGCCTTGTTAACTTTCCAGTTCTCTGTTTTCTTCCCTTCTTTGCTGCCAGCTTACCTGTTGTCTTGCCGTCTTGTCACCAGCCCACACTGGCTGCGCCTCCTCCCCGTCCTCCTCCCCACTTCCAGCCTGCTCCGCTCCCTCCCGCCCCTTGCCTACCGTCCCTCCGCCCTTTGTTCCCTCCCGCCCCAGTCCAACCATCCCTCCGCGCCCAGCTCCTCCTGACCCCACATTCCCCACTCCCTTCCCCGCCTTTTCCCCGAACCCCGCCGCTCCTCCGTTCCCCGGCGCTTCCCTGCTCCCCGGCGCTCCCCCGTTCCCCACCGCGTCCCCGTTCCCCGGCGCTCCCACGTTCCCCGGCGCCGAGTCACGGGTGCTACCGTTGGTGCCCTGGCCGGCCCCTAGCAGCGCCAGCAAGTCCACGTCCTGCCACGGGCAGAGGAAAACGCGCACAAGAGGAGCGTTTGAGTCTATTTATATGAGGCGCCTCAAAAGCAGCGCCAGCACGCCCACGTTCTGCCACGGGTTAAGGAAGCCATGCACACACACACAGATTGGGGACACCCGCCTTGCGCCATCAACTCCAGAGCACCAGAACGCCAAAAGATGGACGGGGGGAGGGATGGAGGAGGGGAGAGAGGGGGAAGAGGGAGAGGAGGAGGGGGGAAGGGAGGGGAGAAGGGAGGGGAATGGGAGGGAAGGAAAGGGAGGAGAGGAGGAGGGGGGGTGGGGGGGGAAGGGGGAGAGGAGGGGGGGGTGTGGTTTTGAGGGGGGAATCTCTGGGGCGTGGCGTGGAGTGGATGGGGAGTGGATAGGGAATGGATGGGCGCACCTGGTTGCGGGTGGCGAGCAGCGGCAGGAGCACGAGGGCCGTGGTGACGAGCGCGAGAACCGCGCACGACGGCCAGAACAACCACCCCCCCCGGCGCCACGCCATGCCTGATGCCGCCGATTCCCCGCGAGGCCCGATGCAGCATCCCTCTCCCGCACCTCCCGCCGGCGCGCATGCGACCGCTCCGCGCCACGGGGAGTATTGAGCGCAGGGCACACCCCGTGCAAGCAGAGAAACCCCTCAGCCTCTCGGGTTATCGCCAGATACCTAGGGATTACGCGGATTCAGATAGTGCCGGTTCGGACGCAGCTGGCTCAGCAAACTCCTCTTCAGATTGAGATCGCGGCGCCAACGCCAACGAGAACCAAGGCAAGTAGAAGCAAGTCAGATATATCTATGCTATGCGCGTCAATTGGTCTGCGGTCTGTAACGGTGGAGTCCGATCTGTGGTGTGTCATTAAGGTGGGTGACGTTGCAGTGTCGTTCCTATACAGACGGACTAGCTGACGCTCCGACACTGGCGGTTGACGATCCAGCGAAAGATGCTCGAGATTGCCACGGGACAATTCGGGAACACGCTATAGTGGTTGAACTTGGAACAGGCATATCTGGTGGCGGCTGATTGTGCCAAGTGGATGTCAGAAGGTTGGTTGTTGGGCCTACTATGGGGGGCCGTTCGCTGGCCAATTTTTCACCGGCGCGGCAAGGGAAATCAGGCATGCGGAACATCGATCGAGGCTTCGTGGGTTCGCCGAACTTAATTTGCGAACCATGACGTCAGCATGCGACATCGTCGCGTCGGTTCAGTTTCCCCAAACCAACAGCCCCCAAATCACATGACCCATGCGACTCGGGAAACCGTGGTGGATACCCAACCTTGCTGCGAAACGCTCGCGAAAGGCCACCCAAAACAAGCCGTGAATATGCGACCTCCAAAATTTCGCGGCCAGCTGAGAAACACGCACAATGGGCTGCAACCCATAGGCGAAAAGAGGAATGTACCGGCTGCGCGTCTGCAACCTGACGGTCGACTTTGCAACAACATTGGTACAAAAATACTCGCCCGCAGCCCCAAAACCTGCACTGCTAAATTGTACCCATCGCGTAGCGATATTGCTGTTAGGTTTTTATGGCTTGAGAGGCGATATTGGGGTCCAGGAAGTTCTGCCCGTTATTAGTTTCGTGCCCCGTTTGTTTGTGTGTTGTTACGGACAGCTGATGCGGTAACCGTGCCACTGGGCCGTCTGTTTTGCAAACGTGGCTCATGTCCAGACGAGGCGCATTCATCCACAGTACCAATTTGCGCCGGACGTGTTGATCGCGTTGGTCGTACGCCCACGTCGCAGGGCACATGGGCGAAACTTTTGGTTTCGGCAAAAGCCGAAGCGCACAGCCCAACATTGCATTCCCAATTTTAGACATTTCAAGACATTTCGAGCCGCATGGGAAAACTTTGCTCGTCGGCCCAACTTCAGAATGCGATCTAACAAGGCTTTTGATGGGCCCCACTCTTCACTGTCCGCGAGTTTGTAGTATCCAGGCCTGCATTCGTGACCAACGTAATCATGAGCCGGCGACGTTATGATTACCAAAGTACTGGGGCACACAAAGAAAATTTACGTATGTTTGGCTGCACAAATTCCATGCGCGCGGGATTTGGTCGCCCGTTCCCCTTCCCGTTCCCTTCGGCAAATTGCCAGCGAACGGCCCCTAGGGGTTACTCCAAGGAAATTGTAAGGAAATTTCTATTCCTTAGCGCGCCACACCGCTAACGCGTACCCCAACCCCACACGGCATGGACATCTGCCCTAGCTTCGGCCCGTAGCCATTTCGCGTCACTCCGAAGCGTTCCGCGTACTCGGATGCCTTCGTTTAACCTGTTCGATCGCACGGCTAAGATTGCTCCGGTGTTCCTATATCTTGCTTTGTCATTCCATTGTGCTACATTCTGTTACCCTGAACCTCGACATTCGATTCCGCGTTACTCTGGTGAAACACCCATAACATCTCACATTCATAGCTACTTTCCTTACCTACTTGCTTCCGTTGGCGGAAAACTTTTGGGGGGGGGAGGAGTGATTCGCTCACTGAGCTGCAAAGCGATCGGCCACAAATCAGACGAATTAATTTGCCCGATTACAATAGCATTTGCACTCTTACCTGAGCATGGGTAATCACAGATATCCCCTTGCCCACCCGGCGTAGTGTCCGCCACATGGACCAGGCACAGTTCGACGAGCTACTAGCAAAATTTGTCGCCACGGACGCTCGCTTGCAAGTTGTGTTAAAAGACAACGAGAAACTTCGCGCCGAAGTTACCAAACTTTTTCAGGCGAGACTACGCGCCAGAAGTCGCCCGCCCCTGAGGAGGACGCCACCAGCATTGTGTCACGAGAGCTAGGTAGCTATGAACGGCAGGAAGCCATGAAAATGGCGTGAGAGTTTAGCTAGGAGAAAGTTGACGAGAGAAAAGAGGTCGAGAATAGAAGAGAGGGGGATACAAGGAGGGTGATTGTACCCTCTACAGTAGGTTTCAGTAACACCTACCAAGCCAACCAATTATATAACACAATATATAATTTAACACACCCCCTAGGCTTGGTAGTAACAAGCCCACACACACCCACACCCCCTAACCTAGTCCTCCCATTCCCAGCAGCAGCTGCGATGATCCCGGAATTGGGCAACACCCATGGCCCGGGAGAAGGCAATGCTGGTGACGAGAGCGACAGCGGCGGCGGCGTGCGGCAGCAACAACGGCCGCGGCGGCGACGTGCGGCAGCAACAACGGCCGCGGCGGTGGCTTCAACGTCAAAGGCGACTGCAGCGGCCCCCGCCCTCTCGGCGGCATGGCCAAGCTCATCAGCTGTGGGGAAGGCCCTCACGAGGCAGTCGTCGGCTGTGGCAATGAAGAGGGGACGCATGGGAAGGAAAGGGGGGGGGTGGTGGGGCGTGGTCCAGAATCACGCCCGTGGCTGGCGAGCGGGCGGCAGGTCTAACGGCGCCGCAGGCGTTGCGCGGCCGGCTGCAGCCCGACGACGCCGTCACAGAGCGGCGTCGATGCCGCGGCGGGACGTCGACGCTGCGACGGCAGCACGACGGCACCGACACGCCTCCACCGCTGGACGTCGCCGGCGCCGCCACGGCTGGACGTCGACGCCACGACGGCGCGACTCCACGGCAGCGCATTGGGACGGCCGCGGCACGAATCGGCCAGCGGTACGACGGCGCCGCGACAGCAGTACGACGGCGTCGCGACAGTAGCACGACGCGGCCGCCATGGCAGCGCGAGAGGGAGAGAAGGAGTGCACGGCGGAAGCGTGGGGAGCAGGCCCGGGAAGGGGAACCTGCTCTGTTACCATGTCACGAGAGCTAGGTAGCTAGGAACGGTAGGAAGCCATGAAAATGGCGTGAGGGCTTAGCTAGGAGAAAGTTGACGAGAGAAAAGAGGTCGATAATAGAAGAGAGAGGCATACAAGGAGGGGGGTTGTACCCTCTACAGTAGGTTTTAGTAACACCTACCAATTTTATAACAAAATATATAATTGAACACACTGAACGTATCGAAGCAGCATTGGACGAAATGGCACGCGAAGTGTCGCAGGAGCGCCGTAATCAGGCCCCACGATATCAGGATTTTTACTCTTTGTACGCTTTTTTTTCAGGGTGTTTGCTGGTACCGACCCTGATGAAAGAAACCTTTTTAAATGATTGAACCCTGTTGAAAAAGCATTTTTTTAACGTACGGTGACGAGAACAATTGTCCGGATGTTTTGCATTATCTAGGGTTTTGTGGCTTTCCGACCAGTATACATAAAGTCTTAATGTTTAATGGTGGTATGCTTTGGGAGGGGCACATAGGGGATGTGTTCACAGCACTAAAACCCATGATAGTGCACTAGATCTAACTTAGGGCCAAAAGATATGCAAAGAGTACATCCGGACAGTTGTTTCCCATGACAAATAGCAAACTTCCGAGCAACGTTTCTAGTACCTAGTCAACCGACACTTGGCCTTGATCACCACCCACACCCTCCTAGGCATGTTATCTACGAGGTTAGTGCAAACCTTTACAACGATCTTCTCGCACTCTTCCTGGACCCACGCTTTTGCATAAGGGGGTGAGCACTAGGAAAATTGGGAAGGATTTGAGCGTATGCAAGAGTATTGTGCACGATTTCAGATTGAATGCTTTCTCTAAGACTAGCCACGCTGAGGTGTGGCCAAAGATGCCATAAGTCGATTGGTCCCGGTCTTATCATGGATCGTCTTCGTCGTACCTTTGTAGGGTAAAATTACGAGCAGAGTGGTGAAAACTAGCGTATCTGCTGCGAAACTTAGTGTAACATACAGTAGCACGGCCGACTCTGCATCCTTGCACTATTAGAATCGCGCTAGGATCCGTAGGTCTCGTCACGGTGCAGCAGTCGAAAAAGTCGTGCCTATTCAGAAGGAATATCCAGGTTGAGATCTGGTGAGGAAAAGGGTCACTCCAGCGGAACATACTCATGCTCTCCAAGCCATTCTAAGCCATATGTCCCGCCTAGGCTTGGAATGGCTTGGAGAGCTTGAGTTTGCAGCACTGGAGTGACCCTCTTCCTCACCAGACCTGAACCCGGATATTCTTCCCCACTAGTTGGGGCTTCTTCGACTGCTGCACCGTGATGAGACCCGTAGATTTTAATGTGATTCCATTAGTGAATGGGTGCAAAATCGACCGTGCTATGTTACCCTAAGTTTCGCGGTGGACACGCTAGTTTTCGCCACTCAGTTCGTAATTTTACCCTACAATGGTACGACGAAGACGATTCATGTTATGATGGGACTAATCAACTTATGGCATCTTTGGCCACACCTCAGCGTGGCTAGTCTCAGAGATAACATTCAATATGAAATCGTGCACAATACTCTTGCATACGTTCAAATACTTCGCAATTTTCCTAGTGCTCACCCTACTCACCCCCTTATCCAAAAGGGTGGGTACAGGAAGAGTGCGAGAAGATCCCTGTACAGGTTTGCACTAACGTCGTAGATAACATGCCTAGGAGGGTGCAGATGGTTATCAAGGCCAAGTGTTGGTGGACCAGGTACTAGAAACGCTGCTCGGAAGTTTGCTCTTTGTCTGAGATTTACTTTTTGTATATCTTTTGGCACTAAGTTAGATCCAGTGTACTATTATGGAATTTAGCACTGTGAACGCATCCACTATTTACCCCTCCCCAAGTGTACCACCATTAAATATTAAGACTTTATGTACACTAGTCGAAATGCTAAAAAACCCTAATTAATCCAAAACATCCGAACAATTGTTTCTGTCATTGTATGAGACTGATGTTTCAACGGTTTTTTTCTTGTAGACACTGATGCATCAGCGCACTAATGGGGATCGACACTGAACCAAACAATTGAGACTCACGGAGTTTCCCCCCTGGTTCGCGCATGATCTCCTCTCCCCCAACCCCTACTCCCACCAGGTCGCAACAAAAATAATGTGTACAAGTCCTCCAACCCAAGGATATTTCTGTTACATTACTAGAATCTAGGTCGGAGGGAAGCCATAGAATGGCGTAAGGTTTT